ACAGTGCCGGGGGAACCAAGTCTTTCAGAATTCCTTGCTCCAAAATAGGAGTCCAAGAATACAGCATGAGTAAGAGTTACTCTCACCTCTCCTCGCAGCCTCGGGGCCCAAAGACCTGGCAGTCACAGGGTTGAAGTCCTTCTCCAGTCCCTCCCTCTGCAGCCTGAACACCCTGCTGGCAGGAGCCTCGCGCCTCCCACATGCCTGGAGCACAGGGAACCTTGGCCTCCTCTGTAGAAGTGGCCATCTCAGAGCCAGCCCCAAGGCCCCCAATATGGCTGTCCCCCCACACTCCTTGGAAAGGAGTCTCGTCAGACTGGGTTTTGGCTAAGGTGAGATCAGTCACTGGTACCTCTCACAGGTGCAGGGGGGAGGGCAGGGAGGAAGTTGGATGGCAATAAAGATAGGGGTCAGTGTGCCTTTCCAGGGTGGAAATCAAGTGGGAGCCAAGTTCTCAAGCAATTTCAAGTGCATGGCTAATAAGTGACGTTGACCTTTCCCCTCAGTTGGTAGCCTCGCAGATGAGCAGTGGATAAATCACAGGCATTTCTGGTCTGTGCACAAAAAGGATTCATTCAGTGACGTGTGGAAAACGGCACTGAGTGCTCCGGAGACCCAGGTCCTCACCTTAGCCTTTGTCTTGGAGCAAATCAGTTACCTTCTCCCTCCCCATAGTTTCCTCAAGCTTAGACTATATCTTTTTTTTCCTTCAATTAATCCTCACCAGAGGAGTGAGGATATTTTTTCCATTGATTTTTAGAGAGAGTGGAAGGGAGGGGGGAGAGAGAGAGACATTGATGTCACAAAGACACATCCATTGGTTGGCGCACACACGCGCACACGCACGCAAGTGCTGCCTGTGCTCTAATCACCGAGCCACGCCGGCCAGGGCAAGACGACATCATATTTTTGCCAGCATCTGATATGTGTGCCTCTGGTGGTTCACAAGAGGATGTTAGGTGGTACTCAAATTGATAGTTTTTATTTTAGTGTATATTTAATATATCATGTAACAATGTGACTAGCATATAGTTTCACAGACATTAAGAACAGTGAATCCTGTTCAAGGAAAGCGTTGTGACATTGCGTAGAAGGGAACACAGATCCAGAGAGGTGGCAAAAGTCCTGAGGTGGTTCCATGAGCAGCTAAAACGCGGGGAACACTGAATCAGTTCGCTTTTGTTCCTCTCCAACGGATTCATGAGTGTCTGGTTGGGAAGTGAGGAGTTTTCTTGCCTAAATCCCTGATGTATCTGTTTGACTTTTTTCAGACCTTCTCACTTCAGCCCTAAAGATGGAGCCTGTGGGCTCTCAGAGAGATACCACAACTTGAGTCCCAAAGAAGAGGCCAGTCATCCACCCACCTTCCCAAAGAACCTCAAGTACCTGCCCCAGCACAGTAAGGAGGAGGAGAGTGTGTGGAGGCCCAGGTTCTGGCCATGTCACTGTGCATGGCCACGTCACCTTGAAGCAGTGAGTAGCTTGACTCACCGCCTTGTCCCTCTGCTGTAGACCAAGAGCAATGGTGTCTGCCCTGCGACTCCGCAGGGCTGGTGCGGGCATTGCACTGTGGACAGGACCTGAGGAGGCATATGTGTTTACGTGGCTTGATGAGTCACCAGGCCAGGAGGGGTGCCAGACCTCCTGACTCCTGGTCCAGGGCTCTCTGTGCTGTTCACACTGTAATTTTACGTGGAAGTGTTTTTATCGTCCTGTGGGTGTGAGGGAGTGAATGGAGATCGAGTACCCGGACTCTTGGAGCAGGAGAGTGTGGAGTTTGAGTGGCCTTTGCTTGCAAAGGGTGTGCCAGAAATGCATGGAGCTTAATAAAGCTGATATGGGATTATCTCATCACTCTGCCCTTGAGTGTGTTGGGGAGAGCCAGGGAGACGGGGACGGGGAACTGACAGCCTAGGCTCCATTCTCGTCTCTAAACTTTCCATTAACCAATTTAAAGGGTCTTAAAAGCTTCTCTAAGAGAGAGACTTAGAAAAAAATGGTTTCTGAGTCAACGCTAATGACTTCAATTACTGAATTTGTGAATAGCTGTGCCCTGGTTTCTGGATGTGAGCCCAAGTTCAATAGCATAGATGTGGTTGAGAGTCGGGTGTGGGAGGGACTGACGTCCAAAACCCCTAGTGACTGTTCAGATGGGAAAGACCACCAGCTCGGCCAGTTCAAAGGTGGGAAGAGTTGAGGGGAGTGTCCACATTTCCCTCCCTGCTGCTCCCCCCTGCCCCAACCTCTAGTGGTCCTGTCACTTTCCTGTCATTGCTGGAGCCCTAAGCTTCCTCTAGCCCCACTGCCTCCCCTGCCCCTGCTGCCTTTCCAGGGCTGCCCTACACACTGGCCTCGCCCTGGCCTACCGTGGGACAGGGGCCTTGTCTTCCTTTGATTCCAGCATCCTCAGCACTTAGCACGGGGCCGTGCAGGTAGGGGCTCCATGCACGCATTGGTTAAAGCTCAGGGTTTTAAGCTGTGCCGTGCAGTAATCTCTCTGCAAAAAAAAAAAAAAGGTTTCTGTGGTCAAATAAGTTTGGGAAGTACTGCACTAGACGTCCCCTTTTTATAGATTCACAAAGCACATCAGCATATTCAGGGTTCCAAGAAGCCCTGCAGTACAGAGCGTGGTTAACCCGATGCTTCCCTCGTGGAGCTGAGCACAGAGCGGCACCCTGCAGATCGCCCATGAGCCTCTGAGGGGCACCTCTGTGGAAAGTCACTGCTCGGGGAGCCAGCCTCTTCCCTTTCTGTTAGCATTTCTGGTTCTCTGATTACTGCTGCCTCCTGACCATGCCTGGGCCAAGGGGCAGTTCAGACTGTCCAGGGACACTGGGTGTCGTGTGGTGATGGCCAGATGCTACCCTCCTTCCCCCTTAGTCGTTACAAATTAAGTACTGGTTCCATTTGAGGTGCCAAGCGTAGAGGTGGGATATTTTTAAGCTCTCGCTGTGGAGAGGGAAGGATGGGAAAGTCGTGAGAGAGATGTTTTCAAGGGACCAGAAATCCTTGGCTGTTCAGTCACTGCGGTCTCCACACAGCCCCAGGGGATGGTCTTGTCCACAGACCCAGATCTGTGTGCTTTTGCCATTAAAATTCCTTTACTAATGACTCATTGTCAGGGCCCTGAAAGGAAATGTGGGGGGAGGACAGGGAGGTGGCCCCTGCCAGCAGGGCCAGCCTGGGTCAGCATGCTGGGTGACCGGAGGCTCAGGGCCTGGTGCCCTCAGCAATGAGACCTTCGTGGGAGGCTCTGCTGCCTCGGTTTCCTTATCCGGAGATACTATTTTCAGAGAGCCCTGATACTACAGTGGGAATAAGGCTGTTTGGCTCATTATGTCTTTGGTTAATACAATGCTCATTAAACATTTATTCAGTGAATGAGTGATTCTGTGCATTGCCCCTTCTCCACCCAACACCAAGCCTACCCCACACCTAGTAGGTGCTTAAAATATTTGTTGAAGAGATTGATTCTATGTAACACCCCCTCCAGTACTGATGTTAATGCATAGTAATTTCTCAACAGATACAGAATGTTTGTTGACTGAGTGCTTCTGATCATGCCTCCCTCCTTGCCTTACCCACTACCGTGTACCCAATACTTAGTAGGGCTGAAAAATGCCGACCTATTTTCTAGGAACACTTTCCGTGCCCAGCTGAGCCTCTCCACTCCTGTCTTCTCCTTTTTGAGGTGTGGTTCTCCCCAGCCTCCCAAGGGTGGTGGTTACCATCTCACTCTTGTTTCAGCCAGAAGAGGTAGGGTCAGTGAGCTACCAAGCTGAAGTCAGGTGACAGGCAGGGAAGGGAGGCCACCCGTCAATCTCTGAGCTGCCCCAGGCTCAGAGTGAGCACTGCATTCCACTCCTGGTGCTGGAGATCGGCTGACTGTTGATAAAAAACTGCACTTTCCAAATTAAGACGACTTTTAAATGAGTGCTTGCTGGCTCGCCTGCTCCCTCAGTCTCCCAGGGGACAGAGCCCATCTTGGGAAACTGTTCTGAGCATGTCCAGTCTCAGCTTTGACATCTCAGCTGACGTCAACAAGTTTCTGTGACCTTCCTGTTCAGCCCACTCAGTTCTGTCCCCACATATATTGTCTGGTATTAGCGTGCTAGGAGGGGGTCACACCCCCCCGCCCTGAGCAAAGGCTGGTGCCTCAGAATAGCTCTACTCAGGAGTTCTCCAGGCTTTGCAGGAAAGGCAAACTGAGGACCAACTAGAGGACTGCCGTGGTCCTTAACCTTACTTAGGTCCCTGGCCCTCTGAGAATCTGATGAACGCACTGACTCCTTCCCGTAGCAAAATGCACTGCCCAATCTTATGAGCGATTCAGCAGGTTCATAGATCCTGAAGCCCACCCACGGGTCCCAGGTTAAGAACCCTTGATATATTAGAACGAACATCATCCTCAATCCCAGCCCTGCCACAAACCGGCCACGTGACTTTGGGCCAGTCAGTCTTTTCTGTCCTGCCATTTCCTTGCTATAAAATGTTCAAACTCCTGATAACCAAAATTACCCATGTCTGTGGAGGTTTAGATCGTGACTTAGAGCAGTGCCGCATAACCTTTTATAGGTCACCTGTTCCTTTGAGAATCTGATGAGAATTTTGTTTGTCTTCTACTTAGGAAAATGCCTATACACAAAGTTTTGCCTAGAATTCAGGGAAGTGGAGGTGGGAGGTCCAAGGTCTACAGATTTAGGACTTTTGAACAGGAAGGAGGCAGTGATCCAGTATATCCAATGCTCTAGTTGCCAACCATGCTTCAAGGTTCCTCAGGTCACCACTCCCCCATCTCTTCTGTCCGCCCTCCCAACATCAGCTCTGTACTGAAAAGCCACTGGTAAATGGGAGGCCAGCCTGTCTGGTGCTATGGTTTTCAGGCTTGCTTTTACATATGGAACCTTTTTTTTTTTGGTCCTAGTAGAGCTTTATCTGGAGCGCCAATATAGATAAAAGGGAGCTCTGAAGCATTTTTATTTCATTCATTCATTCATTCATTCAGTGGGTATTCATCATATGTTGCTTTGTGCCAGGCACCTGGCTGGTCAGACTGTAAGGAGATCTTGTAAGGAGATCACTTTGTCTTGGCTGAGGTGATCAGAGACCCGGCTCCTGAAACACTTAGCTTTTGGGGCTCAGTTTCCTCATCTGTAAAATAGGACAATGGAATACTGATGCCACACTGTATTCTAAGTACGCTTGGCATCATTAGCCCTAGTTAGGAGGATGAAGGACAGTGAACATGAGCACTGAGCTCCAAAGGAGGAAAAAGGAGGAATTTTTGCCTTCAGTGTCCAGGAAATCCCCACGCTATGGAGAAGCTAGCTGAATGATAGCTTGGAAATTTCCAAGAGAATGATAAGGCTGAGCCTTAGGAAGATATTTGCTGTTTCTTCACTCCCTCCTCCCCTGGAAGGTTTGCTGCTGTCACTATCGATTTCATGGAGCCGGTTCACACACTCTCCTCCCGTGCCTGAATTCACAGGCCCAAACCTGCTGTGACAAAGATTTCCCTACGAGTGGTGGTTTCTGAAGGGCTGCTCCCTGGGAAAGGACAGGATTCTGCAGAGACCCAGGCCTGCGTCAGGGCAGATCAATCCCCTTCACTTTGGGCTTGGTGGTTAGACGTGCAGGCCTGCGCGGCTTTGGAAATACGCTTCAGCCATGTTTCTGGAGGGGAGCTCAGGCAAGTCCGCTACCGACAAGAGCTCACCTCTGGGGGCTTTTCCGTTCCTTTTCGTGGCTGGCAGTGTAGTGTCAAGGTCAAGGGCATGGGTTTTGGTGTTGGACAAACGTGGCTCTGAGTTCTAGCACTGCCTCTGCTCTCTGCTTGATCTTGGGCAAGACACCAGCCTCTCCACGGCTCATATCCTTGTCTGTGAGATGGGGATAATAACACCTCCCTCTCAGAGTTGTTGAGAAATTATTAATTAAATTCTATTGTAAGCCTGGTGCCTGGCTCATGTAAATGCTCTATAAATAGTCATGCTTTTCGTAGCCCTAATTTTCCAGCTGAGAAGCGGATTATTTGATAATGCAGCACTAGAGGAGTGGGGTCAAGAGTACACATGTCCTTCGTTGCGTACCTAACACTGCACCAAACGTGCCCCGTTCCTGTCCAGGCCCAGCCTGACCCACTTGACAGACTGGAGGACAAAGAACTATTACTCTGTTATTCATCCCTCCTGAGGGGTGTAAACAGGCAAACAAGCCACTGCTTTTCCTTTATTAGAAGGTCAGAGAGCTTTGCCTGGCACCCCAGGATGCAGCCCCCTACCCTCCAGGATGCAACAAGGCTATTCTTTCCTGCTCATGACAGACACTCCGTGGCACCTGTTCCGCCCGAGGACCAGCCCTCTGTGCTCTACCTGTGTTTTGCCAGCAAACACTTATCTCAGCCACTCACTCTCCATCCTCCAGGAAATTCAGAGGCAGAGCCAGCTCCTAACAAGGGTCTGCTTTGGTCAGCCAGCTGTTAGTCCTTGGGCTCCTGTCCCCTCCGTGGGACAACATCAGTCACCCTAAAGTTCTCGAGCCACTTCTGCTCAGTGAGTTCAACAATATTAGAAACCAGAACATGTCCGAGGGCCCTCAGGGCCGGGACTCCCTAACATCTCCCGGGGCCCCTGGTTCCTGGATCCAAAGGCCCCTGCTGTTGCTGCTGCTGGTCCTGGTCCTGCCCTCGGTCCCCTTCTTTCCACCTGGGTTCCCCTGGACGTCCGTGCCTGTGGCCCCACTGGTGGCCAGGTCTAGACTGAGGGTCCTCCCGCAGACCGAGAGCCGCCGCAGCACCTCGGAGGCAGCCTCCACGGGCACACTGGCCCGCGGCTCCAGCAGCATCTCCAACAGCGAGCTCATCTCCGAGAGGAAGGTGCTGGCCAGCCGTGTGCCTGTCGGGCTCAGCTCTGGCCCCGACCCCTTGCCGAACGTCTGGAAGGTCCTCGGCTCCTCCAAGGCCGCAGTGTCCGGGGAGAACACGTTGTCACGGTAGTTGGTGGCAAGGGGCAAAGAGAGCCTCGCCATCCAGGCCGGGTCTGGGGCGCTTAGTCGGTCCAGGGCCAGGCCTGCAGGGGGAGGAGAGGACATAGTGAGGGCTGAGCCCACGGAAGGGCAGAGCGGTTGAGGGTGGGGTGTGGGCAGGGCAAGGGCACTGAACAAAGGAGGGAAGGGAAATGGCAGAGGACAGACGGGTTAGCCAGAGGGGGACAGGAAGGAAGAGGCCCTGACAGGGAAGCTCACTGGGCAGGAAGGCCGCTGACTGACGCTCATGAACTGAGAGAGGAGGAGGCAGGAGGAAGGCCTACAATTAGAATTGGCCTGTTTTTAAATGACGTCTGGGTGGGTGGCGTGTTTCAGGTCTAGGTGTCTTTCACCCACTCATTATAGCCAGGCGCACCCTGAATGGGGGAAAATCCCTTTTCTTGGCCAAGGCTGGAGTTCCTGCCTTGGGGCTGCCTTCTGTCTGTACCATAATAGTGACTACTTACTAAGTACTCCTGTGCCAAACAATTTACATCATTATCTCCTGTAACCTCCACACAACCTTTGAAATCCAGAGTATTATCCCATTTTATAGATGAGAAAACTGTAAAGTTCTAAGAAGTTAAAACACATATGTACTAGGCAACTAAATCCAAATTTGACCCTGGGTCTGATGACTCTGAAGCCCCCTGTGACTGCACTGCTATCCACTCTGAAGAGCTGGCCCTTCCTCCCCCTGGATGCTCCAGGGGCCCATCTGTGGCCTCTGCTGAGAATTAGGCTGGGGGTGGGGGGCTGGTTCTCTAAGGGCTGTCCAAGGAAAGGGATGGGGCAGTGAAAAACTGTCTCCTGGAACCCACTGCTACCATCACTTCTTTTCCTGTCTCAAAAACTAGTCCCAGGCCTGATGGTAGAGGCCAAGCAGAGGAAAGACTGTCTTTAAGAAATGTAGTTAAAGAAACTGTGTCTTTCAATAAAAAAGAGGCACAACATCTACTTTAACATGTATTTAGTGTTTGCCTAAAGTGAGCTGCTTTAAAATTTGTGCATATTGTTGGTGGAATGCAAATGGGAGAAGCCACTTTGGAAAGCAGGATGGACATTAAAAATAGAACTGCCTTATGACCCAGTGATTCCACTTCGGGGATTATATCTAAAGAAACTCAAAACACTAATTCAAACAAATATGCACCCCTTTGTTCATTTGAAACATTATTTTCAATAGCCAAGATTTGGAAGTGGCCCAGGTGCCCATCAATAGATGACTGGATAAGAAAGCAGCATGGATGGACCCAGAGAGTATTATGCTAAGTGAAATAAGCCAGTCAGAGAAGACGAGCACCGTATGATTTCACTGATATGTGGAATCTAATGAACAAAATAAACTAACAAACAAAGTGGAGACACTCAGACCGAAAACAGACTGACAGTTCTCAGAGAGGAGTGAGTGGGGTTGGAAAAGGTGAAGGGATTAAGAAAACAACAGCAACTCAGACACAGACACCAGTATGGTGATTAGCAGAGGGAAAGGGGGTGAAGGAGGTAGATGAGGGTAAAGGGGGAATAAATGGTGATGGAAGGAGACGCGACTTGGTGGTGTGAACACACAATGCAATATATAGATGATGTGTTATAGAATTGTACACCTAAAACCTATATAATTTTATTAACCAGTTACCCCAATAAATCAACAAAAAGGAAAAAAAAATCAAAAGCAAATAAAATCTGTGCATAGCATAAAAGCCTGAAAGGAGATTTGCCAAAGGATTAACTGAAATTAGCCTGGGCAGAAGTGATTTCTTTTTATCTACATTTTTCTACATTAACTAAATATTGCTTGTGTAATTTGGAAAAGTTATTTCAAAATACAGCTAATTGTTTTTTATATTGATATAAACGAGTCTCATCTCACCAAGTGAGCATGGGACTGTGCAGCCTGTGAGGCAGGGTCAGGCCACTTCCCAACTGGTCCAGCCCACGCCTGGGACTTAGAGAACATTCACTGAATGATTGAATGAACAAATATTAACCCTCAGCATTTGGGAAATGTAAACCTTAGTTCCCTGCGACTCTGGAGTAATAAGGTTGGAACTCTTGGCGTTACGGAATTAGGCCTTTCCTTGTACCAGGGTCAGAGAGCTTCCGAAGGAATGAAGCTTGGAATGAGAAAATCACTGGTGTGGGTGTGAATGGCTGAAAAGCGATGGTGAATTTACTCTGTGGAGGGTGGGTGCTGGGCCGACCTGGGTTTGATTTCCCTGCTTTGCTGCTTGTGAGCAGTGTGACCTTGGGGCAATTGCTTAACCTCTCTGAGCCTTTTTCTCTCATAAAGTGGTGAAATGGCAGTACTCATCTTGTTGGGTTGCTGTGAGCATTCAGATGAGTAGCTCGGGCTTTTTTTTTTTTTTTTTTTTTTAATCCCTGCCGCCCTCTTCATCCCCGCTGTGCTTGCCCTCTGTGCTGTGGGAAAGCAGGACCACGTGGGAACCGAGCCCACAGGTTCCAGTCCCATACTGCCCAATAGAGATCGACTGTGAGCTACAGAGGTCATTTTAAATTTTCTATTTGCCACATTTTAAAAAGTAAAAAGAAAAAGTGAAATTCATAAAATATTTTATAATTACTATCATTTTATCACATAACCAATATTTTTTAATCAATATTTTTAATATTGGGATATTATAAATTACTTTTTACAATAACTGTTCAAAATCTGAAGTGCATTTTATATTTATGTCCCATCTCAGTTCAGACTAGACATTTCCACATGTGGCTAGTGGCTGCTATACTGGGCTTCACAGTTCTACATTCTAGACCAGCCGTGGGCAAACTACGGCCTGCGGGCCGGATCCGGCCCATTTGAAATGAATAAAACTAAAAAAAAAAAGACTGTACCCTTTTATGTAATGATGTTTACTTTGAATTTATATTAGTTCACACAAACACTCCATCCATGCTTTTGTTCCGGCCCTCCGGTCCAGTTTAAGAACCCATTGTGGCCCTCGAGTCAAAAAGTTTGCCCACCCCTGTTCTAGACAATACAGTCCTATAAAACTTTGCATATATGTGCTGTCCAAAGCAATATCCATTAACCATATGTGGCTGGTGAGCGCTTGAAATGTGGCTGGTATGACTGAGGCACTGAATTTTTCATTTTACATGTACTTAATTTTAATTAGATTTCATTTTACTTAATTTTAATGTAGAGCCACAGTGGTATTAATAACCATGGGCGGCACAACCTTGGGAACATTATTTAACACCCCTGCCCCTCAGATTTTTCCTCTATGAGCTGGGGATAATGAATAGTCCGTATCTCGTCAGAGTTCCTCATGAGGCACCTAGGACAGGGTCTAGCACATAGAAAGCACTCTATAAATGTTAGCCTTATTTCTGTTCACCAAGGAAAAGGAAGTGCCTGCCATGCCTTCAGCATGTTTGCTGCCGGAGGGAGCACACAGGGGATGTCCAGATGAGAAGCAGCTTGTTACCACAGAAACAAAACCACAGCTTAGGGACAGTTGGATCTGTAGGTGTTACCTAAAGGGGGCTGACGGCTGTCCACAGCAGAGGGGTCAGCTAGCAGACTCTTTAATTAAACTTCATCTTTGGTATCTATTTTCAAAACTAATTGTTTCTCCAGAAAAAAAATATTTTTGTTTCAGTAAGAAATGTTAGCACATGAATGAGGTGATTCCGTTCTCAGGGTAAAAGGATATTTAAACACACCAAAGAAATTCTAAAAAGTGGTTCAGGAGGTGAGGGGAGGCCTCTTGGTGGAAGGCAGGCCTAGGTTGACTCACTTTCAATCGCTAATGAGCCAGGTGACTGGACAAGCCGTTACCTCTCTGAGCCTCAGTTTTCTCATGAGAGTGCTCATAATCAAGCTGGAGCTCATAATACCTACCTCAAGAACCAAGGATGGTTTGGAAGCTTAAATGAGATCATGTGTATAAGACGTGTCCTGTACCTGGCACACCAAGAACTCAGTAATTGTCCACTATTCTTACGATGATCTGTAAAATGAACAATCAGAGTGGAATCTGATCGTTAAACAAACGAAGGCCTCTGAAGCGCCAGGAGAAGTAAAATGCTGATGTTCCTCCCCAGAAACGGGATGGCTGTTTCCCTGCAGTGATTGGAGCGGAACTCCGAAGCCTGAGCGTGTAAGCAGACTGTGTGTGGAGTAGAAGGAGAGTGGGGTCATCCTGGGGAGTCCCTACCTTTGTGGGGGTCCAGCAGGCTTGACAGCTCTTCTTCTAGCAGCTGCTTCACAGAGAGGTCCTCTTCAAGGTCCAAGGGTCCTTCTTCCTGGTCTGGTTCTGCCTGGCCACCAGCCCTGGCACCGGGGCCATCTGTGTCTGGGATTACACTCCTGCAAAGGAAACCAACCCAGCCCCCAAGTGAGAAAGTTCAAACCTAGGTTCATTCATTCTAGCTCGTTGCACATTCTTCTATTCATGCCAGCATTCATTCGTCCACATCGGGACCTGGATACACATAGTCCAGCCTTCAGAGTCAGACCGACCTGAGTGACTCGATCCCATCTCTCCTGCCTACTCTGCGTCTGTAACATTCACTTCTTGGGGCATGGTGAGACGTTGTAACATGAAAGGTTTATGTAAAGAGCTTAACACCAGGCCTGGCACATTGTAAGCATTCAGCAAACAAAAGTGACCATGACTGCATAGATGTGATTACTCACTATTGTCCCTCCCATTCCTTCACATTGCCTGGCACAGAGTAGGAGTTTAGTAACTTCAATTGAATCAATGCGGTCATCTACCATCCATCCATCCACCCATCCATTCACCCACTCATCCTTCCATCAAAGTATGAGCTCCAGTGAGGGCAGGGATATTTATCTGTGCTCAGAACAGGGCTCAGTGCATAGTAGGTACTTAATACTTTGTGGATTTCGTGATTGAATGTTCCTTCCTCCCTATTTGAGGCCAAATTGTAGACCAGAAGAGCATGTCCAGCTAAAGCGAGGCATCCAAAAGCTATTCAGAATCTACTATCCCATTTCACCCTCCTACTGCCTCCTCCCTGGCTTCTCCCTCCATAGACCCTTCTTATCACCTGGGGGAGGCCAGTTCCTCAGACTTCCTGGCATGGGGGAACAGGGCAGGCCCCTCATCATCCAGCAGGTGGAAGGCTCCCTGAGGGGCTTTAAGGTCAGGAGAGAGAGGGGTCTTTTCTTTTTTTTTCTTTTTCCAGTGGCTATTTCTACTGCATGGAGAGATCAGCAGGGAGGTGGCAAGTAACAATGACAGCAATTCATGTTACTGAGAAATTACTCTGAGTCATGCCTTGCCAGTGGTTCTCAACCTTCTGGCCCTTTAAATACAGTTCCTCATGTTGTGACGCAACCATAAAATTATTTTTGTTGCTACTTCATAACTGTAATGTTGCTACTGTTATGAATCGTCATGTAAATATCTGATATGCAGGATGGTCTTAGGCGACCCCTGTGAAAGGGTCGTTCGACCGCCAAAGGGGTCGCGACCCACAGGTTGAGAACCGCTGCCTTAAGCTTTGCAGGGTATATGCACCTTTTCATTAAACCTTCCACATCTGTAAGGGTTCTCTTGTTATCATTCTCAGTTTACAAATGAGAAAACCAAGACTTGTGAAGATTATGCAGCTTGCACAAGCTCCGCATGGATTAAGTGATAAAGTGAGAATTCAAATTTAGACTGCTCTGACTCTGGAGTGCTCACCTCTGCCCTGCACTACCTTTCACTACCTTTCACTCCCTTTGACAAAACGGAAGAAGCAGCTACAAGTTGTCACAGCAAGAGCACTGAACCAGGAGTCAGGTGCCACTCACTGGCTATATGACCTTGAACAAAGTCACTTTAAGAGGAAAGGACTTACCATTGCTTGTGGACCTACTATGTGCTTGGCACTGGGCTATGGGCTTAGAATACATTTGATCATTAAATCCTTACCCCATCACTACAAGGAATTGTGGTGACCTTCAGTTTAAAGATGAGAAACTAGGCCTTGGAGATTTATTTGACTTGCTCAAGTTTACATAACTGGGTTGAACCCAACTAGTTAGAGCCTCAATGTCTCCATCTGTAACAAGGAGTTAGATGTCTTGACGTCTCTTTAATTCTAGGACAGCCTAAAGGAACACACCCACATATCCATGTCCTTAGCCAGGGGCCTTCATATTATGTTTAAGGGTCAAGCGAAAGAAAGCTGAAAGTTACAGATTGAAAGTCCTTAGCCCAGCACCTCTGCAATCAGAGGACAGATAACCAGAGCCTCAGGATGAAGTCATTTCCCTAGTGACCCTGTCCTGTAAATACTATAAATACAGTGGCTCCAGGACCAAGTGGCCTGGGGTGGGGGGATGGATGCTGTCCAAGGCACTGTCCCAGGGGAGTGGGTCTGGGTTGTGATCACTCTTCCTTAAGATCACAGACTGCAGGGGTGAGGGGGGCTGGAGAAGCCTGTGGGGGCTACGTGTGCTTACCTGCCTCCGCAGGGCTTGGCCGAGTATTTATTTCCCCGGTGGTTTGGTTTGGGCTGGAATTGGCCCTGATGCAGCAAGGACAGCAGCTGGGAGATTTGCTACAAGACAGGAAAAATCTGTTGACTCCACACAATTCCGACCCAGCACACTTCCTCGCCGGATGTTTCCCTCAATGCCGGCGCTTTCTTTTTATAGTCTTTCCTCCAGTTTCAGATGATTGTGTGATCAGACGGGGGATGGTGGGTGGTGAACAGTGAGAGAGGCAGGGACCTGTACGGGCAGGTTCCCTACTTTGCCTTTGTCACGCCAGGACCTGGGTGCCTGAGGGAGAGAATCGGGACCATCTGGGCTAGTCCCCTCTCATCTCCCCAAGTGACCTGCCCCTGTTGGAATCGGCAGGGCTAGGGGTGAAAAAGGCATTTCCTGACCATAAATTCATTATTACTTTGATCAGGATTATCTTAAACAGTTATTTCCTGCCTTCAGCAGTATTCAAGCGCTCAGCCAATTTTTGTAGGCCAGATATAAGACTATGTTGTAGAGAAGGCAAAAATGGTGTCATTTAATCATTCATTGATTCATGCTTTCATTCATTCAACAGGTATTTAGTAAGTTTGTCTATGCCAATGTCTGCCCTGAAGCAAGCTCATAGTCTGTCAGAGGAGACAGGGCACAGCAGTTACTACAGGGGGTTGCACTGGGTTAAGAAAGGATGGGGGTCTGTGGGAGCAGAGGAGGGCCCCTCACCCATCTTGGAGCAAATAGGAAGCTGTGGGGTGAAATGGGAGGAGTTGGAATACTTATTTCTACAAATGTTTATTGCGTTCATACTACATGCTAGGCACCTCTGCTGAAACCGGAAGGCTCCATAGGAGTTTGGCAGGTGGAGAGAGGGTGAGGGTCTGGGCCAATGGTGAAGGGCATTCCAGACAGAAGGCACTGCACACTGAAAGATGGTTGGAGAGTGGGGCAGAAGTTGGGAAGGATGCCAGGGCCAGACCCTGCAGGGCCTTACAATGGAGAAGGCAACAGACCAAGTCTTGGCAGGCTGAGTCCCAGTTCAAGGTCATTTCTAGCTTGTGTAATGTCAAGTAGGTTTTCAGACCTACTCAGACCTTCCATCTCTAAGGTGGAGCTAGAAATACCCACCCAGACTTTTCATGGGTTTTCGGGATTAATTAGATGGCTTGAAAGTTTAGAATGCTCCATGAATGCAAGGAGTTTGGGTTGTTCCTCCTAGAAACAAGGCCTCTGCCTCCTGAGCCCACCCCCATTCCTCCCTGAGCAGTTCAAGACAGAAAGTGCCAGCCTCAGAGGAGAGTTGGAAGGGAAGGTGGCCAGGACGGGGGTTTCCATGAGGGTCAGCGTCCCATTGCCTGCCTCCAGGCAGATCCCACCTCCTAAGGCATGTGCCACCCTTTTCCCGAATGACAGCCTGTACTTCAGGGACTCTCCCCAAGTGCCATACCCTGAGCTGAGCACTGTCATTGAAGGTCACTTCACAGTCAGAGCCTAGACTCTGGAGCTCGTTGGTCTCGGGTTCCCACCTATGAACATTGTGAGCCTCAGTTTCCTCAGCAGTAAAAAAGGGAATAATAATGAGATCCAGGTCATACAGTGGTTGTGGTTATAGGATTAAATGTGTAAAAGTATATAAATCACTTCTTAATCGATCTTATGATAAGCACTTAATAACTGTCAAGTTATATATAATCTCATTTAATTCTTACAATAACTCAAGGGAAGAGATACCATGACACCCATTTTGCAGGTGTGAAACCTGAGGCCCACCAGGGGCTACACAGCAGTTAGTGGTAGTCTGGAATTTGAACTTGGATCTGACTCCACTGTGCCACTGTGCTGCTGGAAAGGCAGCGTTAGGCAACCTGCCTCTTACCCTCAAGTTGATCCCAGATGGGCAGCCTTCTTTCCATCACCCCAGTGGGGCCACCCACAGTGCCTGCTCTCTGCTGTCTCTATTTACTATCAACCAGTTTTTGGCACAAAGAGCTCATTCAGTAAGGATTTGATGAATGAATGAATGAATGAATGAGTGAATGGCTCTGGGCAACCTCTGGGGCTACATAGAGCTCAGGGCAGGACTCCTAAGAAAGCAGCTGGGCCCTCTCCAGGTGGCTTCCTGAAGGGGGTGGAGGGAAATGAGGGGAAGGAAGCTGTGTCCTTGCTCCACAGGAAGCCTCAGATGATGGCCTGGCCAAACAGAAGTGTGCTTTGGATAAATAGCCTGGCACAGGGAAAATTATCTGGGGTGCAGAGAAGCAGATAGGAGTGTGGTATCAGGCAGCATCTCTGAAAACGTCTCCCATTTGTGTCTAATAAGTCCCAGGTATCTAGACACTTGGCCATTTATCATCCCACTTAGTCCTCAGACCCCTGGGAGGTAGACACAGGGTAAGTTTGGCATACAGTCCCCACTTTATAGATGATGAAAATGAGGCTCCGATATGAAAGGCCTTGCCCAGAGCTGCCCAGTTCCTACGTGGCTATGCTGAAATTTGAGCCCAGATCTGCCTGACTCCCAAGTTCCAAGGTTACATTCACTGTCCCATCCTGCAGACCTGCCGGCAAGCTCTGCATATTGAACAAGTGATATGCAGCCCCTGAGCCTGGGAGCAATGATGCCCCTGCCAGCCTGCTTCACAGGGAGGTTGCCCAGGTGGAGATGGAAAGAGCTTTGCAGAAGTTATTGTAATCATTTGCTGAGTGCTAGCTTCGTGCCAGACACCAGAGCGCCCTCATTTTATCTTCAAGCAAACTTAGGAGATGGGTGCTATTAACATGGACATCTTCAACAGAGAAGCTGAGTAACTTCCTTGTGGTTCACAGCTAGAAAGAGGGGGAGCCAGCACTTGAACCCAGGCAGCCTTGCTCCAAAGCTTTTATTCTTGATCCCTACCTTCGCTGTGTGTCTACTTATGCCAGGCTTCCTGAGCAAGTGCTGTATAGGAATTAACTGATGAAATCCTCAGGACAACTCTGTGAGGTAGATGCTCTTATAGTCATTCCTGTTTTACAGATGGGAAAAATAAGGCTCAGAGACAGGAAGTAATTTGTCTAGAATCACACAGCTAAATTCTTTGACCCCAAAGCTATGCCCTCAATACATCATAAAGTGCCCAGTGAGCCTAAGGAATGAATAGGAGGATTGTGAGGGTAATGGTGGTGTCTGATGCTGTTAGTAGTGATCCTGGGGTGACCAGAGAGAGGGAGCTGTACCTGAACAGGAGATGAATCCACAGTGAGCTCCTCTATAGGGTTCCGCTCCGCGAAGGCAGCCACGGACAGCCGGACCAGGCTCCGCAGGATCTGACGGGGGCCTGATTCTTTTTCAGCGGCCACTTTGCCATTGAGATTCCGCTGCCGCCTCAGGGTTGCAGAGGAGGCTGGTGAGCTCAACGGGGCTTCCTCGCTGCCCTGGTCTCCAGGAGGCTTCCCTGTGGGGCTGCCTGCCACCTTCAGGGGCCTCGAGCGGGCCTGGCCCAGTGCAGGCTGGGGCTCAGGAAGGTTCAGGTTCTCCCGGGACGCGTTCCTCTGCCTGGGATGGTTGAAAAGGAGGTTGACTGTGTCCTGCAGTACCTCTCGGCTCTCAGCCAGGGCTCCCTGGTTGCCTTGGTTACGAAGGGTCCTGTACAGGGTGGGTGTGAGGTGAAAGGGGGCCTGCAGGCAGGGGTCCCAGCCTGCTTCCATCATCGCTTCCTTGCTCACATCCTTGAGGGGCTGCCCCACTTCACCAGGCTCGTCCACCTGGCCTCTGAGCACAGGCACGAGGTGGATGTCTGCCTTCTGAATGTGTTTCTGGGGTCTCTTGGGCTGGTTGCGGTAGGTGGATTCAGCCTCCCTACAGTTATAGGCCCTGTTGTCCCTCTTCTCTGTCCGGCATATGGACATGATCAGAGCCAAGATCAACCCAAAGATGGCCAGCAGGACGACCAGGCAAATCACCGTCAGCACTGATGTGCTGAGGGCCCCAGGAGCACGGGCGGAGTCCTTCAGGTGGTCGACACTGGTGACAAACAAGATCCTCAACAGGGCTTGGGTCTGCAAGGAGGGGCTGCCACAGTCTTCTACCACTATCTCCAGCTCCCACTCCCTCCCAATGAGGCTGCTGGCATTGGTGATGTTGATGAACAGCTGCCCCAGGTGGGGGCTGAGGACAAAGAGGCGGGCTTCATTCCCACTCCGAATGCTGTAGAACACCTCTCCATTTGCCCCTGAGTCTGCATCTCTCGCTACAATGGTCACCAAAAGGAATGGCTGGGAGCTGTGGGTGGCCAGTGGTGCCATGTCAGTGCCTGCCAGACCCAGGGCATTGGGAGTATCAATGGGCACCAGAAGATGGCCTGTGGAGCCATTTACCAGCACTGAGAGGCTGGCTTTTCCATCGCTGAGTAGGGGATGAATCACCTCTGGGGCATTATCGTTGGCATCCAGGAGGCTGACCCACACAGAGATGCTGGATGAGAGCTGGGGCTGTCCCCTGTCCTCTGCGACCACATGGAACTCAAAGCTGGCCATCTCTTCATAGTCCAGTGACCTCTGAGCAATGACCTCTCCTGTGTCTGAGTCAATGGCTACCAAGTGAGAAACTGGGGAGTCCTGGATGCGGTATGAGATTTGTCCATTAACGCCCAAGTCCGCATCATGAGCTTTGATGGTAATGAGGTGAAGAGAGGGTAGGTTGTTTTCCCTAGTGGAGACCTCATACCTGCTCTTCTCAAACACAGGTGCATTGTCGTTGACATCACTGATCTGAATGCTGAGCTGTTTCTCGGCCGATAAGGGCTGGGGTCCTTGGTCTTGGGCCAACAGGGTGAGGCTATATTTGGGCCACTGCTCTCTGTCCAGCGTGGCGTTGGTTAGCAGCATGTATGTGTTGCCATTGGTCCTTTTCAGCCGGAAGTGGCCCAGCTCTTGGCTCAGCCAACAGTGGACCAGACCATTGTTTCCTGAGTCCAAGTCGTTCGCCATGATGAGAGCAATGAAACTGTCCTTGGGAAGAGCTTCTGACACTAGCAGCGGCTGGGAGGCCCATGTGATGTGGATGCTTGGGGCATTGTCATTGACATCCAGAACCTTGATGAGGACTTTGCAATGGGCTGGGATGGGATTGGGACCCAGGTCCCTGGCTTGGACATCCACCTCATAGGCAGGATTCTTCTCATAGTCAAGGGGTTGACGCAGAATCACCTGGCCGGTTTTGGCATCGATGCTGAAGGTGTCCAGCACCTCTGGAGGCACGTGCTTGCTGAAGAAGAACTCCACCTCCCCGTTGGGGCCTTGGTCAGGGTCTGTGGCAGTCAAGTTTATGAGGAGAGTACCAGGGGCAGCATCTTCTTGGATCTCTAGCGCCAGGGAGCTCTCAGCAAACACAGGGCTGTTGTCATTGGAGTCCAGGACGTTGACTTTGATCAGGCTGGTGCCTGACTTGGGGGGGCTCCCACTGTCATAGGCAGTTAACACCAGATCAAAAAACGAGTGGATTTCCCGGTCCAGCTCCTTCACCACCACCAGCTCCGCGTGTTTGGTCTCATCAGGCCCCACGATGACATCCAGGGCAAAGTGCTCACTGGGTGACAGGGAATAGGAGTGCAGGGTGTTGGGGCCAGTGTCCGGGTCCAAAGCTCTGTCCAGGGGGATCCGGGTGCTCAGAGAGGCACTCTCAGAGATTTCCAGCTCCTGCTTGCCTTTGGGAAACTGTGGCTGGTGATCATTGATATCCAGCACCTGGATCTCCACGTGGATCAGAGCCAAGTCCCCTTTGGCAAGCACGTCAAAGGCAACCAGGCAGGGATCCCGCTGCCGGCAAAGCTGCTCTCGGTCCAGCCGCCTCACTGTGCGGAGCAAGCCGTCTTCAGAGTCCACCTGGATGGGGAGCTCCTGAGGCAGCTGCAGGACCTGGAAAGCAGCGCCCGCTTGCCTATGCCTCTCCTCCCAGCCCAGTGCCTGGGACAGCTTCCCTATCACCGTGCCAGACGGCACTTCCTCTGACACTTGGTATTTCACAGTGAGAGTGGCCACCTCCTGACAATCCCCTGAAGGGAACAAGTAGCCACCTGGCCCCAAAAGCCCCAGCAAAAGTCGGAGAAGTTGCATCATGCTTACCACCAGAATGGGTTAGATTCAGAAACTGCTAGAGTTCTTCAAAGGCTGGGAAGTCCTCCAGTGTTTCTGGGGGGGGCTTGATTAGCCCTGTTCTCCTGCCCCCAGACCTGCTGGCACAGCTTTGTCCCATAATTAGATGATGATAGAACGAGCAGGATTCCCAGGCAAGGCCATTTTCATCTGAAGAGATCCTAGAGGGCTCTGCACCGATGAAGTAAGATCGCCAGCGGTACCCGTTGGTCCAGTAGAGCCAACGATGGGCAAGAGCCGGGCCAAGAGGGACTTGACCCAGTAGAGCAGGATGTAGGGAGCTAACTTCCAAACAGTTGCTATGCTGGGGAAACAGAGAAGCAGCTTTTTCCTATGGAAACCCCACCTACAGGAAAAGGGAGGGCTGTGTGTTTCAATGCCAATTAGAGAAAGAGAGCACGCTTCCTGTGAAGCCCAGGGGCTTGCCGCTGAGGAGGATGCGGCAGGGACTCCGGGGACCAGGCGGATGGGAAGGTGTTGCCCCTGCAGTGAGGTGACCGCTGAGGGAAACAGAGCCCCTGCCTGTCGCCCAGGGCCTGAGGCCCCTCCTGGGCAACACCATGATCCCTGTCTCTTCCCTTCCTTGTTTGTCTCTTTGTGTCCGGCGTCTCCCCATTATCCCTTTCCCATTCTGATCTATTCCCTACACTCATCCATCTTTAATCTTGACTCTGTCCTGATCACCCGTTTTTGTCGCATGAGAAACACCTGTGATTATGAGCGTGGCCATTACAATCAAACTGCCTGGGTTCAAATTCTGACTCTGCAGCTTACCAGCTGGGTCATGTGGAACAAGTCACCGGGCCTGTCTGGGTTTCCACTCCCTTTTAAGAGTGTGAATGGGAATAAGAATAGTAGCCCTGCAGCAGGAAACTGTGAGGATGAAATGAAATAATGCACGCAGGGCCTACGCTTGGCCTGAAGCACAGGTAATGACGTTATTATTAGTGGAGGGTGTTATGATCTGCACAGCTCCGCCCACTTGTGGCTGACTCTGGCACTGGCCTTGGGGCAGTCCCTGCCCACAGGGACCCATGGGAGTGCTCCCGGCCTTGGCTCCTGAAGTACCAGGATCTCCCTGGCCTGACCATGTGGCCTCCTACCCGCTTCCCTTCCTGCTTCCCAGCCTACAAGCCCATTGTTCTCTGCATCTGGTCCAGTCTGAGCCCCTGTCTGGGGAATCCCCCAGCCTCCAGCTCCTGTGTCTTATAAGTTTTAGACTTTTCCCTCTCCCTTACCCTCCTCCCTCTTTCCCTCCCTCCAATTCTCTCCCCACTGCTGTTTATGGCAGAGTCCCCTGAATGATAACTCCCTTGCTACCCCTTCAGGACTAAGGTATGCCCTCCCTCCCATTCCCCTCCTCGCAGAGGCAAGACTCAGGAAGGAAGTGAGTGGGCAGTTTGTTTGGGTGGCCTTTGAGGCGGCTTGCTGCTTCTCAGTTTGCTGTTTCCAGCCCTCTCCCATGCTTACACCCTACCTTGAGGTTGAGTCCAGACTGCAGGGGTCCTCAAACTTTTTAAACAGGGGGCCAGTTCACTGTCCCTCAGACCGTTGGAGGGCCGGACTATAGTTTTAAAAAAACTATGAACAAATTCCTATGCACACTGCACATACCTTATTTTGAAGTAAAAAAACAAAACGGGAACAAATACAATATTTGTATTTGCATGTGGCCCGCGGGCCGTAGTTTGAGGACCCCTGGTCCAGAGGCTTATAAAGCATTTGAAGTAGTGGGGCTTAAGGGCCAGCTTTCCCTAGATGCGTGTTTGCAGCTGAGTCCTTGAGACCAGAGATGCAACACAAGTGACTCCAATCAGGGCCTTTGGCCTGGAGGCCTGTGGTCATTAGGACAGGGATGGCTAAGGGACTGCCCTAGGTTAAGCCCCACCTCCACTCCCTCCCCTCCCTTCTGTGTTTCTTTCCCACACCCTCTCCTTCACCCCATATCTACTTCTGGAGATTTCCCAACCATCTTACCGAACGAAGCCTGTCAGCCAGAGCAAGGGGCCTCTCCTACGGCATGGCTCTGGAGACATACAGAACGCTCCCTCGCTTGGAGAGAGACATTCACAAGTCACTTAACCTCTCTGGGCCTCAGTTTCCTTCTCTGTAGAGTGTGGCCGTGACCCATCTCATGAGTTTGGGGTAAGGATTTAATGAGATGATGCACATACGGCCTTGGCACCGTGCCTGGTACAGAGAAAGCTCTCCATACAGGAGGCTGGTGTGTGTGTGTGTGTGTGTGTGTGTGTGTGTGTGTGTGTGTGTGTTTACCAGGTTTTATGCCTCATATGCAAGTGGGGAAGATGGTCTTGCGTTTCTCCCTTCACTTGGAAAGTCATTTCCCAGGGCTCCCTGAGCTTCAATGGCCGACATCATCTCATGCCACCCTCACAGCCACGCCATTGGGTGAAGAACCTGAGTGGAGAGGTTAGGTAAGTTGCCCGAGATCACACACATTTGCCCTGCAGAAAGCCCCTCCAGCTGCACTCTGGAAAATGGATTGGAAGGGAATAGAGAAGAGGGAGGGAGAAAGGCCTGTGGGGAGTAAACCGCAGGGAAGCCGCGGTGCAGAAACTCTGGGGCTGAGAATGTTTCCAGAATGCCATCTGGTGGCCAAAAGCAGAGGAAAAGGCACAGAGGCAGAAAGGTGGGTGCCCGGTGTTCACAGATATCCACAGCTCCAGACCTGTGCTGCACAGGGAGACACAAGACAACAACCATTAGTCTCAGTGGGAAACCTAATGTGACCCAATGCCTACAGGAGGAGTGAACTCACAGTTTTATAGGTGTTAACATTTATGTTCTTGACATTGTTATATATGTGCTCTGTGTGTGTGTGTATGTGTGCGTGTCGCCTTGACTAAGACCATGGATGCCAAAAATGGACTCACTGGTCACAAGAAAGTTTGAATTTGGATTTCACAGGTAGTTTTATTGTTTTTGTTTATTTTATTAACATTGGGGGCATGAAGCTAAGACAACCCTTTAAGAATCCAAAGCCAGCAAACAAGGCCCCAGCCTTTTTAAAGGCAATTTCCTCTGGGAATGAGATCCCCTTTAGTAATTCTCTCTCCTCCTTTCTGGCTACAAGGGTCAGTTGATCATTGGCAGCCACATGGCAGGGTGTGAACGGAGCTGTCAGTGGAGTTGGTCAGGGCTAGTTGGCCTGGAGGCCTGTGGTCATTACCCTGAGTTTTGAAAATAGGTTTAAAACAACTGAGCCTCCCTCAAGTTGAGTTTTGTTTAAAGGGGGTAGAATTGGGGTTGGTACTTGGAGGCCTTGCTCACGACAAGACTTGAGGTTGTTCACACAAGTCCTTCGTCATGGAGAGGGGTTGGAGGGTAAAGTGGGAAGGGCAGGGGTCAGAGGATCTTTTTAAAACACCTGGAGTCCTAGGAAACCTTGAGGAGCCAGATCAGTAGAGTGGGACTCTGCCCGTTGGGGGATTCACAGGTCAGCTGGAAGGCTCGGCTCATGTCCCACACCACGAATGTCCTGCTGGGCTGCCTGCCCACCCCAGGCTCCTTGTGAATCTGCCCAGCGGCTGCCATAATCACAACCGCCGAGGCAGCTTTGATGAGGCTGGGAGCTTTGTCCTCAGGCTCATTCCAGTTGGGAAGGTGACTGGACCTCGTAAGTCTGCCTCTTTTTCTTTTAACAAGATCTTGTTGAAGTTAGAGCAGTCTAGCCAGGAATCTTGACATGAGATTCAGGTAGATGTTCAGGGTCACCCGCTGGCGGCATGGCACTCTGTGGTCTTTGTAGGCACAGATGACAGATGTCCACTCTCACACAGTGGCACCTCTTTCTGGGTCCAGGGCAGAAAGAAGGATGCAATTTGCAGAGAGAAATTTTCTCAGAAATAGGACTTTTCAAGAAATAGAAAGGGTTTCTGTCCAGGTTAAGACACAAAGGGAGCTAGATATTAGAATCATTTGGAAAGTTTTTCAAAATACCAGGGACACAGCAAGAAAATGCATAGTTTTCCCTTTCCCAGCCTGCCAAAGAGAATTTTATAATTGTCAGCTCCATTTTCCCCTCTTCAAAAAGGCTTCATCTTGCAGATGATTTGGGACAGGGTTGGGGAAGTTGGACCTTTTTGTTGGAAAAGAAGTCTAATTGATCTACTTAACGAAAGGAAAAGTAGATGGAGAAGGGGCATGCTGAAGGAAATCATGGAGGAGGGTGCACTAGAGAACAGCAAGGATTGAAGATGAGGACTTTCAAATGAATTGTTATAAATTAGGGGTCTCCTTTATGGTTTTCAATAAAAGATATATAATTTATTTTGTGCTTTAGTAACCACAACACAGCCCCCAAATTGGACCACATACATTCTGAGTTGATAAGTGTTGCTCATATATTATGTCTCTCTTCCCAACCTGCAGAGGGGAAGTGGGCTATTTCCAGCATGTAGATTTTCAGTCTGATATGCAGTAGGTCATTCCAACACACACCCATCTCCACCCCAACCTCATAGAGAACCACTGATTTAGAACTTCTTAGAAGCACCAGCAACTTTGTAAGGACCGAACTCGACAGCCATTAGGCCTTTCTTACTGAGCATCCCCTTGGTCCCCATCACGGCCCCGGGCCTGTGTCGCTGCTCAGCAGAAGCTCTGTGCACACCTAGTTCTCCCTCCAGATTCTGTCTGTTTCTCTGATTCCTCCTTTGGGTTTCCTTGCTTCTGACTCCCAGGTGTGGGCATGGTCCCCAGATTCTGTCCTCAGCCCTCTCTTCTGCATAGGGTTATTAGCCCAGAAATGGGTTGCTAGATGTAACAAATAAAAAACATGGCGCCTCGTTAAAATTGGATCAGATAGTCTGGCCAGTGTGGCTCAGTGGTTGAGCATTGATCCATGAACCAGGAGGTCATGGTTCCATTCCCAGTCAGGGCATATGCCCAGGTTGCAGGATCAATGCCCAGTAGAGGGCATATAGGAGGCAGCCAATCAATCATTCTCTCATCATTGATGGTTTGTTTGTTTTTTTGCATTCTTTGATTTTATTTTTTAATTTAAAAGTTTTTAATTTTCAATTACAGTTGACATTGAAGTTTCTAACTCTCTCCCCCTCTCCCTTCCTCTCTCTGAAGTCAATAGTAAACAAACAAATAAATAAATAAATTTAGATCAGATAAACAATGAATTTTTTTTAATATCAGTATTTTTATCTGACAGCCCTATCTAGAAATAATAAGCTCTCAACACAGGCTTCTTTTCTGTTTTTCTGTGTGTGGCTTGCTTTTTGTTTTGTTTCAGAATTTTGGTTTGCTCAGTGAATTTGAACATCTATGAGTAAACACAAAGATCAAACATATTGACTGGGAGCATCATCTGTGCATGAATATTCAGAGGCTGACTGTGTTGATTGGCCTTGTTATGTTTTCAGCATTTCTGGTGATCCAGGATCGAACTGTTCTCAGACTGTAAGAACCACCCTGGAGGAAGCCTGGATCACACTCACTCATTAATTTATTCAGTCATCCAGGCTCTCATTTATTTGGTGGAATTCAGCATTTATAAGGATATATATATATATTTCTTTTGGCAAGGGAAGTAGCTGAAGTTGACCCACATTTTTCCTCCTCCAAACCACTGGTTTGTTTTTCTTTCTTCACAGAGAATCTAATCAACCTAATTCTCTCCTTGCTTCAGCAAGGTAAGTCTTGCAGGAAGGAAAACGAGTCTTCCCTTCGTTACATTAATTCTCATGGGGCTTCCCTTTATTAGTTTTTGACAGCCAGGAGTTGAGCCTGGAGCTCGGAGAGAAGCAACCGCACACTGATTTATGATGGCAGCCGCTGCTAAATCTCACCCCTCTTTCCTTCTTACAGAGCCGTGTTACCTTGGGGTTACAAAACTCTTTTCACTGTTATTCAGGGGAATAATAATAAAATGCCAGGTTGCAAGTATAAACATGATCATTCTGTGCCTATTACTGTAAATCAAATTTTACTTGCTTCAGAAGCACAGAAAACATTTTATACTGTCAGCCACCTCAAGCCTTTTTAGGCATCTGTTTTTATATAACCCTGGGATGACCTGCGGTACTGTTTGAGCTGCACTGACCAGGAAGCTGGGCAGGAGGCGATCTGGCTATTTCTCTTTATAAACCTCGCTGACCACTTTCCTTGAGCAAAGTATTAACTAGATGTAAGCATAGCCTCGGGGTTAATGATGTGGGCTCTCAACTCCAATTGCCCAGTTCAAAGCTTGGCTCCGTAATTTACCATCGGTGTGCCAGCGGCAAGTCACGTCATTTCTCTGTGATCAGTTTCCTTCGCTTTAAAATAGGGATGTTGATGTTGGTAACTATGTTATAGGGCTGCTGCACGGTTTAGCTTAGACAATGCACAGCATTTAGAGCAGAACCTGGGACATGAGTAGCACTCTGATAGTCATTTATAATTGTTCTTTTAATGTAATAGCTTTTTTTAAAGAAAGAAAGAAAAACCAATTGTTCAGATTCTCATGTGATAATAGTAAAACTTTTAAGATCTAGAGGGTGAGCGGATACACAGCGACAGGAGACTAGCAGGAAGTCAGTGACACTTCTGTACTGGGGTGGGCTCACCACCCTCCATTCCTCTCCCAGAGTTGGGGCAGGGCTTTCCCTTCCACACTGGTGCCCCTCTCCATGCCAAGGCTTGTTTCAGCAGTGCTTGTGAGTGATGGCCATTGAAAACGAGGCTGTCTCCCGGGGATGCCAGCAATGGATGAGAACAAGTGCAGGCATCCATGGAGGCCTGCTGACCCCAACATAGTACCTGCAGGTATCAGACATAGTCTGTGACTCACTCCTGCTTCTCTACCCCATGCCTTGGGTCTTGACCTCTGGCCAAGGTCACACACCCCATCCTCTCCTAGCCTTCAACTCCATCATCTCACATCTCTGAAGCCCAGTGCAAAATGAAAATGTAGAGCCTCTTTTTTGAAAATTATTAAGAATTTCAAGATGGCCATAGCAGATCATTAGACCAAGAGCAGGTCCCAGAAGCAAGAACCAACATCTCAACATCCCACTTAAATGTGCCCTGTACCTAAATTATTGAGATACAATTCACATAAAATTCACCATTTAAAAGTACACTGTCTAGTGGTTTCTAGTATATTCACAAAGTTGTGCAACCATCACCACTATCAAATTCCACAATATTTTCACCCTCAAAAAGAAACTTCATCTCCGTTTACAGTCACTTCTCATGTCCTCCTGCCTCAGCCCCTGGCAACCACTAATCTACTTTCTGTCTATAAGGACTTGTCTATTCTGAACTTTTCATATATGTACATGAAATCATACACTATGTGGTCTTTAGTGTCTGACTTCTTTCACTTCACATAATGTTTTCAAGGTTCATTCAGGCTGTAGCATGTATCAGTACTTAGTTACTTTTTATAGCTGAGTAATATTCCATCATATAGATACCAGTATACCACATTTTGTTTACCCACTTATCCATTAATGAACATTTGAGTTGTTTCTACCTTTTGGCTATTGTGAATACTGTTGACACTATCTATGTATATAAAAGCCTAAGCAACCATTACAACCGGTTGACCAACCAGTCACTATGATGCGCACTGACCATCAGGGGGCAGATGCTCAACACAGGAGCTGACCCCTGGTGGTCAGTGTGCTCCCACAGCCCATCTCCCACAGCCAGCCAATCTCCCATGGTCCCTCCCTCTGGCCGGCCCCGATTGGCCCTGATCGCCGGCCAGGCTGAGGGACCCTACCCATGCACGAATTCGTGCACCAGGCCTCTAGTATACAAATAAATATATATAAATATAATTATACCTTTATGTACAGGTTTTTGTGGGAACAAATGTTTTAAATTCTCTTGTGTATATCTAGGAGTAGGTCTTATTATATCTATATGTTTAACTTTTGGGGGAACTATCAGATTATTTCCCAAAGCAGCTACACAATTCTTACATTCCCACCAGCAATGATGAGGGTTCCAATTGCTCCACATACTCATCAAAACTTTTTTTACCTGTCTTTGTATTATAGCCAGTCTAGTGAATGTGAAGTCATTTCTCATTGTGGTTTTGATTTGCATTTCCCTGATGATTAATGATGTTAAGCATCTTTTCATGTACTTACTGTCCATTTGTATATCTTCTTTGGATAAATTGCTACTCAGATCCTTTGCCCATTTTTAAATTGATTTATTTGTCTTTTTATTGTTGAGTGGTAGGAGTTCTTTTTTTTTTTCTTTTCTTTTATTGCTTACAGTCTTACAAAGGGTATTACATATGTGTCCCTTTTTTTCCCCCGCCCTTGACAATCCCCTGGCCTCCCCTACCCCCCAGTGTCTTATGTCCATTGGTTATGCTTATATGCATGCATACAAGTCCTTTGGTTGATCTCAGTGGTAGGAGTTCTTTATGTATTCTGGATATTAGATGTTTATCAGATATATCGTTTGCAAATATTTTCTTCTGTGGATTGTATTTTTACTTTGTTGATAGTGGGTTGGTGTTTTTTTTTTTTTTAGCATAAAAGTTTTTAATTTTGGTGAATCCAACTTATTTTTCTTTTGTTGCATGTGCTTTGGTGTTATGTCTAATAAACTATTGCCTAATCCAAGTTCATGAAGATTTATTCCTACACTTCCTCCTAAGAGTTTTATACTTAGTTTAACTCTCACAAATAGGTCTTTGATCCTTTTTGAGTTAATTTTTGTATATGGCATGAGGCAGGAGAAATGTAATTTTAATTCTTGCTCAGTCCCTGAATAATCATGTGCCCCTTGGTAAGTTCTTGAACCTAAATTTCAGTTTCCTCATTTATGAAGTGGGAATAACAAATAGTACCTAAATCGTAAGGTTATAGTGAAGACAGACAATGTTCATAAAGCACTTAGCACAGTGTTTGAAGCATCCTAATTGCTCAGTAGTTATTGTGAGAAAGTCTCACCTGTCTGAATTCAAATAACTGGACTCGAAGACATAAAGCATGACAAAAACTACGTTCTGGAGAGCTGGTGCCTGTGGGCAGGCAGACACACACAGAGCAGTGATCACAGGCAATTTAACTCTATGGTGGGAGAGACGCTCCTCATTGGCTGAAGACTAAGGAATTAACAGTCTCGCCCCATACATCGCCTAGGTCTTACTGTCTCCAATTGGGTTATTTAAAAAAACGGACTAGGGCCTTTTCTAATCGTCTCCACCTCCTTTTGTCTAGGGGCCCTAGACTCTAGGCGGATCTTCCTGGGAAATGTGCTATTGGTCATGGGCACAGTTCTTCTCTTCGTTCTCATATCCTTTCCATTCCCCCTCTTCCCCCATCCCGTTTGCCCTGGAGAGATTCAGTAACCCGCTGCCCACAGGCTGTTTCTTTTCTAACGGTTGACTATGCTGCCGAATAATTCTACACAGAGGCCTGTCTCCTACAGTTATTATTGTTATAAAATGAACAATGAGTGAATACTTCCATCTTGGAGGTGCCAGGAAGATGGGCAGCATTTCTAAAGAAGGTAGCTGGGATCCGAGGAGGGCAAGGACGCTTGCTTAAGTCTCCCTGGAGGAGCAAGTCTAGGATTGTTACGGGAGTGCCTGCCTCACGTACACCGCCGCCTCGCGATCCCCTCTGGGATTGGTACAAATCCTAATTCCCGGGCCCTATCCCAGAACCACTGAAAGGAGCCCGCTGGGCACGGGGTCTCAGATCCGCCTTTCTATCGACTTCTTGGCACGCGGAGTACTTCTGCCCGGCACGGGTAGGAGTGACGGTGGTCCCGCCTGCAGCGCAGCCTTCCGCCTGCGGGGGGCGGCCGAGGGGCCTGGGCGGACGCCGCGGCTGCGCAGAGTGGTCCTCACGCCGGGCCGCCCCAGCCGGATCCACCTGGCTCAGCTGACAGCTCCGAAGGCGGAAGAGGCGGTGCGCAGGTGGAGCCGGGCGTCTCCGGACCGGTCGGGAGAGAGGCTTGGAGGGGCCTCGGGCTAGGGCGGAGGGCGGAACCTTCGGGCCGGGCACGGTCGGCTCGCCGGAAGGAACGGTGGGGCCAGCGCTCGGTGCACGCGAGACCGAGAAGGGCGGCCGGGCCGGGGCAACTCAGTGGGCTTCAGCCCCCCGCAGACACCGGACGGGGCGCCCCCAGTCCGGCCCGGCTAAGACCGCGCCCCGCCCCAGGGCGCGGAAAGACCGGAGGGTCCAGCGCCGGCTTCCGCGGGACCTCGTGCGGCCGCACTGCGCCCTGTGTCCCGGCGCGGGGCAGCGAGCGCGGCTTGGGCCTGCTCCCGGGTGTAGGTGAGTCGCCCGGACTACGACTCTGCACGCGGGCTGGCGAGCGGTGGAGGCGCCGGCGGCGGCGTGCGGGCTCGGAGCCGGGCTGACCCCGGCTCCGGAGTCCCCGGGTGTGGCCCGGGAGAGGGAGGAGATTTTCCCGGGCCGCAGGGAACCGCGGAGGAGGGGCTGCCCTCCGCAGGGTAGCGGTTCCCAGTTTGCCAGAACTAATGTCACCCTGGGATTATCTCTTGTCTGATTGCGCCAGGATTTATTCTGGGTCCTGTGTTACCGGTGAAGAAACAGGGTGGGCTGAATCCAGATTTAGTTACGTATTAATGAGCTGTATGGCCTTGGGCCGGAAAAGGACCTAAAATGCCAATTTTTCTCATCTGTGTAATGGAAATAGTGATAGCACTTGCTTCCTGGGCTGTGGGACTCTAGCAGGAGTTAATGCATTTAAAGGGCTTACGCACGGTAAGAGCTCACCAAGTATTAACTGTTCTTGCTGGTTTGGGTTATTGTTGTTTTTGAGTTATTGGCATAACTCAAAATTGACATTCTTTTTTTAAATCGAATTTATTGGGGTTGACATACAGGTTTCAGGTGTCCAGCTCAATAAAACATCATCTGCACACTGCATCGTGGGCCCATCACCTCAAGCAAAGTTTTCGTCCCCATTTCCTCTGTGTTCTTGCTGTTCCTGTGACACCAACCCAACCTCCAGCTTCTAGTGGGACGTGGCAGAGCAGTTACTGAGCTGTATGACGCTGGCTCCCCGTCTCAGCACACTGCATCTCACTCCAGTGCACTTCCAATTTTTTCCAGTGTCTACTGCAAGGCACTGCCAGATGCTGAGAACAGTACACACACGCACAGGACGTGATTCTCACCCTTAAGGAACTTACGCAGTCTGGTAGGTGAGAAAGTGCGAACTATTGTCATGCAAGGCGGGCGTTAGCCCCCCCAGACAGTGTCATAGGAAAGTTACATTAAAAAAGTTTGCTGGATTTTTAGACAGGCATGACATCTAATTAGAAATTTCTACATAGAGTAGGGGCTTTGGAGGTGGGTCTGGAAGGCTAAGTAGATAGAATCAGAGGGAAATGTAGGTCAGCGACCTGAATTAAAGGACTGGGACCCCCAAGGCAGCTTCAGAAGCTGGGGTGTGGTGGGGTAGATCATGAGGAACGGTTGATGGGAGTAGATCTCAATCCTGGCGGCACATAAGATCACTGATAGCTGATTTAATTGCTCAGGTGGCTCTAATGTGCAGACATTATGGAGAAAACTAACCTAAAACCAGAAACTATAAACTATAAATTCATCTCTCACCCCACTTATAAATATTTAAGTAGGAAGAAACAGCTTAATTATGTTAAGCTTAATTACTACATCTGGTAAAATTGTTTAAAATTAAATAAGGTCATTTGAAAGGACTTAATACAGTACATCGTAGGTGTTCAATAAATGTAAATTGATTCTGAATTTCATTTATAGCTTATTTGAGAGTCATACATCTGAAAATCTTTTTAAAATTATGGTTTCATATCATACTTTTGCATAATTTTGGGGTGTTCATAGGATTCTCCATAACTCATCTATGGGCTACCCCTCCCTTTACCCTCACTCCCACTCCCAGCTCAGAAGCCTGGCTCTAAAGCATTTATTTTTTATTTATTTTATTTTTTAAATATATTTTTATTGATTTCAGAGAGGAAGGGAGAGAGAGAGAGATAGAAACATCAGTGATGAGAGAGAATCACTGACCGGCTGCCTCCTGCACGCCCCCAACTGGGGATCGAGCCCACAACCTGGGCATGTGCCCTGACCAGAATCAAACCTGGGACCATTCAGTCTGCAGTCTGATGCTCTATCCACTGAGCCAAACCAGCTAGGTCTCTAAAGTATTTAGAGTGAACTTAGTCTTTTCCTCGCTACCTTGAGGGAGCCCATACAGCATTGCTCTTGATTCCCATGCAACTTAAAGGGAAACTTTCACACTGTCCAGAGCCCTTGGTTTCCTGCAAATGAAGGAGGAGGATGTCCTCAAATTCCTTGCAGCAGGAACCCACTGAGGTGGCACCAATCTTGACTTCCAAATGGAACAGTGCATCTACTAAAGGGAAAGTGATGACATTTGCATCATAAATCTGAAGAGAACCTGGGAGAAGCTTTTGCTGGCAGCTCATGCCATTGTCACCATTGAAAACCCCGCTGATGTCAGTGTCATATCATCCAGCAACACTGGCCAGTGAGCTCTGCTGAAGTTTGCGGCTGCCATTGGACCCACTCCTATTTCTGGGCACTTCACTCCTGGAACCTTCACTAACCACATCCAAGCAGCCTTTGGAGCCAAGACTTCTGATCCCCAGGCTGACCACCAGCCTCTCACAGAGGCGCCTTACGTTAACCTGCCCACCATTGCTCTGGGTAACACAGATTCTCCTCTGTACTATGTGGACATTGCCCCCCCTTGCAACAACCAGCGGGCTAACTCAGTGGGTCTCACGGTGGATGCTGGCCCGGGAAGTTCTGCGCATGCATGGCACCACCTCCCGTGAACACCCATGGGAGGTCATGCCTGATTTTTACTTCTGCAGAGATCCTCAAGAGATTGAAAAGGAAGAGCAGGCCGCTGCTGAAAGGCTGTGACCCACGAGAAATTTCAGAGTGAATGGGCTGTTCCAGCTCCCGACTTCACTGCTGCTCAACCTGAGGTCCCAGACTGGTCTGAAGGCGTGTAGGTGCCCTCTGCCTATTCAGCAGTTTCCTACTGAAGACGAGCACTCAGCTTGCCACTGAAGGCTGGTCTGCAGCCACCACTGCTCAGGCCACTGGATGGGTAGGAACAACTCCTGAATGGTCTTAAGCTGTTCTTCCACAAACTCTTAACAGAATGGAAATAAGGTTGACAGAAAATAAACAGTTTCTTTTAAAAAGTTTGCCTGTGTGCATGTGTGTAAGTGCTTTTAAATATCCTACTGTCATGCTTACATTACCTAATGTGGAGTGTCCCTTTGCAGGATTAATTCATTAGCAGGGAGAGGAAAAACTGGAGGGGGATAGGAAATGAAGGAACAGAAGCAGCAGAAGAAGAAAGAAACAAAAACTAGATGTTTTTCAAGGGTTTTGTGATGTACTCTCCTCTCATGACCTTGACGGTCTTTCTCACTCCTCCCAGGTCTGAAATCAGTAAGATAAGACTTGTCTCACTACCTTGGTGGTCCTTTTCAGCTCCTCCCAAGGCTGAAAATGTCAGATAAGACCTCTCTCTGCTGGATACACGAAAATGCCCCTTTAACCTTGTGACTCAGGCTGTTCTGGGAGAGTAGTATTCAGCTGCAGATTAGGATTGACTGTGTGTTTGATTTAAGTGGCAATAATGGAAATTCAGAATTTAAATTTGGAGAGGGTGCTAACACCATCTTTTGTGTGTTTTTTCTGTAGATGGCAGGATTTCTATAGTATATCTAGTATGAGTTCCACATCTTGGCCTCTTATCCAACTTCAGCAGTCTCATCTCCACCATCTGGAGAATAAATGGGATATTTGCATGAATTCCAGACTCTGAACTGAAATAGACTGCAGTGTTCATATTCTTTTCTTGTTATTATTAACAGGTACTGACTGACCTCAAATGGAACATGTCATTGTCTTAGGGCTGCAGCATAAGCAGAACCATTTTCATATGTTGGAGCAATTATTTTTTGAAAGTGGCATTATTTTAAATGAATTTGTCTAAATTTTGTAGTGTCACCTCTTATAATCTGAAATGCCATGTCCTAACTTAGTTTTATACATTTCAATAAGAAAATTTTTTGTTAAGAGGGAGAATATTTGCAAATGCAATTATAGTCCCAATATTTTAATTGACAGAATGGTAAATTTTTGTTGTTTTGATTAAGCTATTTTCATAGATTCTCATTCATATTTTTTTACATTTAAATTATCTGAAATTTTGGTTCATATTTTAGTTGCTGTGATTAAAAAGCATTGATTCATACTTTAATTGTAGCATATTTGTGTTACCTAAAATAATGATAAATCTTAAACTTGATTTGACAAAATTTGGTATTTCCAAAATTTAATGTTACTTTGCTGCTTCCTTAGTTACCTAATTCTCTTATATAGTATCTGTGCCTATGACATTTCTAGAACAGGGTTTTCTAAACTGTGAGTAATTTTGTCCCTTCAGAATATCTGGCTATTGATTTCAGAGAGGAAGGGAGAGGGAGAGAGAGATAGAAACATCAATGATGAGAATCATTGATCAGCTGCCTCCGGCATGCCCCCTACTGGGGAGCGGCCCACAATCCAGGCATGTGCCATTGATTGGAATCAAACCCGGGACCCTTCAATCCTCAGGCCAATGCTCTATCCACTCAGCCAACCCGGTTAGGGTGTCCAGATATTTTTGATTGTTACAACTCTTTTTTTTAACTTTTTATTTTTATTGTTACAACTCTTGAGGGAAAGGCATGCTATTGGTATCTAGTTGGTTGAAGCCAGGGTTACTGTTACAACATCCTATACAGAGGACAGCATCTCACAACATAGAATTATTTATTCCCATGTCAATAGTGCTGAGGTTGAGAAAACCTGCCTTAGAGATTCCTGTGGATTTAAAAAATTCATTTATTTTTTAAAAGTATATCAAATATACTTTGACTTCTTTTGTGGGCAGGGCATGTTGCTAGGTTTAGTGGACAAGCCAAACTAATTTGGGATTTGTCCTTAAAAAATTTTTTTACATTATGCTTTTTCCCCTGAATTAGTTATATTAACTGATAAAGTCAGCAGTTAGAAGCACCAAAGTCATTCTTTTTGGAAAAAAGGCTGTTATTATTGCAAAGCTACTAGAATATTAGACATGCCTGTCATTTTTTTAGTTTAGCAGAATAGTGAGAATATTGATTTATTCTTTGCACTTCTTTCTGAGGAATTTTTGTGTGTATGTGTGTGTGCTACTAGACTTTTCCAAACTCAGCCTTTCCTGTTCTTAACTGATGTAATTGTCTTTAGCTCCTCAGAAAATTAAATGTCGGCAGAAGACCGAGAAGCCCAGGAGGATGAATTGCTGGCCCTGGCGAGTATTTATGATGGAGATGAATTTAGAAAAGCAGAGTCTGTCCAAGGTGGAGAAACAAGGATCTATTTGGACTTGCCACAAAATTTCAAGATATTTGTGAGCGGTTAGTTAATGTTCTCTTAAGCTGATTTTTCTAAATAAAGATTATTCTCAATTTCTTAGTGAAACTTAAATTATTTGTTTTTCAATTACAGTCTACATTTAGTATTATTCTATATTGGTTTCAGATGTACAGCAAAGTGGTTAGAATACCATGTACTTTACAGAGTGGTCCCCCGAATGCTTCACGTACCCAGTTGGTCCCATACATAGTTATTGCTGTTGTTACCTATATTCCCTATGTTGTAATCTACATCTCTGTGACTCTTCTGTAACTATCAATTTATACTGCTTAATCCCTTCATCTTTTTCAACCAGCCCCCCTTCCTCCCTCCACTCTGACAACTGTTAGTCTGTCGCTCTATCTATGAGTTTGAAACCTAAATTATTTATCACCTTGTGTTTTTAAGCATCAGTGATAAGTGGTATTATTACAGATTTAGTGCATGTTTCTGTTTTAAGTGAAAATTGAACTGGGAGGTAAACAGTTTTCAGTTTGATTCCACCTTTTGACCATTGAATTTAGGATATTATCTTCATATTCATGCATTCTAATCTTCTAACTAGCAGTTTATCAGCCACGACTCATGGGCTATTAAATAGAGATAATAAAAGAGGAAATTAAATAATGTATGTGAAAACATTTGGAAGCTTTAAAGTATCATGGTGGTGGTTAATACTATTTGTTTTCCAGAATTATTTAAGCCAGCGGTCACCAGCCTTTCAGACCTCATGGACCACCAGTGTCCGCAGACCACCAGTTGGCGACCGCTGCTCCAAAGGTTTCCTTAAACCAGTGGTCACCAACCTTTTGGACCTCACAGACCACCAGTTGGCGACCGTTGATTTAAACTACTATAAACATGCGACATGTGCTATTGCTCTGTGGCCCTTTGCTTCAGAAAAACAAAAAACTGCTTTATTTGATACAAACATTTACAGGAGACTTTGATACACACTTTCTCAAATATTTCTATTATAAAGGCATTGAGAAAAGAAAGTGTGATAATGTAAAATGAAACTTTGTGTTGTGTGCTGTATCTTGTCCTCAAGCCTGAGATCATTATGTTGGAACAAATTGTCCCAACTATGATTCATGGGTAGTTGATACATGCTGATCTAAGTAGGTCATGGCTCTTTGATAGGAATAAACATGCCTTTCTCTAGATTGTGTTTTTAATCATCTACTGTAAAACAATAACAAAAGAAAACATTGTGTATTACTTGCTCTTTACTGTTAGGAATTGTACTCAAAAATGAATACAAGAGTAAGTTGTGTATCATCATTATAAATTTCATGGTGCTTAGTAGATTTTTCAAGGGCTTACAAGATTTTTTTTTTTTAAAGTGGCGGCTAAGAAGTTAAAATTAGGAACTAGAAAGTGCTTTGGGGGAGGGTTTTTAATCCCCTCAACAAAAACATTAAGTCTTTCTTGAGCACTGCTCAACAGTAATGGACACTCAAGTATTGACCAACTGATCCTTTCTAATCTTTGTTTTTGGTTCAGGCAATTCAAATGAGTGTCTCCAGAATAGTGGCTTTGAATACACCATTTGCTTTCTGCCTCCACTTGTGCTGAACTTTGAACTGCCACCAGATTATCCATCCTCCTCCCCACCTTCATTCACACTTAGTGGCAAATGGCTGTCACCAACTCAGGTTAGACCCGAAACTTAATTTCTCTTATCCATTTTTAGAAACTTAAAAAATCAACTTTAATTGAAGACTACCTTGATCTTGACTTCAATGCATGGAGAACAGATGGCTTTGGATTTTGTAATTTTTTCCCCTTGCCTTCATGAATCCTAATGTTAATGGGTTGAAAATGTTTGGTGCTTTAGAAAGAAATGGCAGTATTAAAATTATTAATCATTATGAATTGCAATAGGAGTAATTTCTAATCAAGTATATTGTTTCTTTTCTTTTTTTGCTATTTTCCCATTTACTCTGTATTGTGATGAAACAATAAGTTTCTCCTCATTTTCCTTAGATGTTGGAATTACTCTTTTTTTTCTTAGTTTCTTATCCATTCCTTAAAAGAAAGATTTAATTGTAATTAGGAGGACTAAAATTGATCTATTATAGTTAGAATAAACACATTTCTTAAATAAACATAATAAGTGCTTTTATTTTTAAAGCTCTGAATAATAAGAACAAATAATTGTTGACTGGTCTCTCACACGATATGATTACACCCAAATAGAAATGTATACGATTCCTGTAGATAGCTCATGAAGGCTGGAGACCTTATATTCTGAGCAGTAACTTCCTCTAGATTATATAACCCTTTCTAGTAACAACCTTAACTTGTGATTGAGACATAAAGATGACTTGAAGCTAATATAGAGTGTTCTGAGGTAGATAATGGATTAATAGCAGCTGCTTTTCTGGAAGTCATGATGAAGATTGATAGATTGATGTATATTAAGACAAAAGCTGTCAGAGTTATTGACCTTAAGGAACAGCTTGTCAGTTTTTCCTTTTGGATCATGTATTTTTCATTCCCTCCCTTCTCCCTGCCCCAATAGTCTAATCTTTAGATAAGAGTGCTTTTATAAAATTGAGCTTTAAAAACAAAATTAAACTTAAAAAAAGATAATACACATAGAATAAAAAGGAGTATTACCTTACATTCTAATAGCTGTGCCAGAGGCAATACATGCTAGACAGTGAATTATTTGCCCACTTCCCAATATTAAAGGCTATTTGACATTTAGATCACTGATAGTTGACTAAATTATTTAGATATTTATAGTCCCATTTTTCAAGAGAACTCCTGATATTTTATATCCATGCGTGTGTATGCATATGCACACACACACACACGTACCACACAAGGACAGATTAGTAGGGTGTGTGGCTGTAGGTAGTTTCAGATTCAGTCAAATAGAATCTACTTAATGCTAGCTTTGGAGGGTGTAGGAGAGGAGAGTTGTTCATTATTTTATGTTATATAGCTAAAATTACAGTAGGATTTTCTATCAAATAAAAATTTTGTGTATGTAATTGACATTTAACTCATCTTTTATACTCCTTCTTGGTTCAGTTCTTGTTTGTTGCTGGGCCCTGATTCCTTGGCATTATGAATTTCACCTGTTGATAGTGAAGTTGACACATGGACCTGTCTTTCACTGAATTGGGGTTGGTAAACAGAAGGGAAATAGGCTTAGTTTTCTTATAGTTTCCATTATTCCTCTCCCAATATATATACATGCACAGTCTCTCTTTTTCTCTTTTCCTCTTTCTATCTCCCCTTTCTCACATTTATGTATATCCCTGATGCCTCTTTTGAGAAGGGGCTGGAGAAAAGAGGATGGAAGAGAATGGCTTCTTCATTGGATTTTGCTCAAACAAAACTCAAAGCTTCCCTTTTAGTGTTTACTCCATTTTACAGCTTTCAACAGGTTTCTAAAGTGTGGTTGATCTTATAAGCATATTCATGTAAATGTGGAAAATCACTAGTGGTTTTAGTTCATGCCTGTGTAGGGTTGAGTGAGCAGCAAGGAACAGAAAATGTAGTCCTGTTCACTTGTTATTTAAATTTACAAAATTTATTTGCATCTGAAGACTTAATTTTTTTGTTTGCCTAAAAAGAAAACCTGCTTGTAATTCCTGAGTTCTGCTTACAAGTATTTCACATTTCTAATAGAGAGTCCTCTTATATTTGTCATTCAAATAAAACAGACTACTTCTAAGGTAGAAAAGTTGAAATAGTTTAAACTTTGGTTGCTTACCTTAGAAAGTGTGAATTTTCCCTATGGCAGCCAAACCACATTGCAGGCTTGTAATCATGTCCAGGTTCAATATCAGTCTGTCTGCCCCCATTAACCAGGTTCTGGCATAAGCCCAGATTGCTTAGTTAAAACCAGCTTGTAAATCTGAGTAACAAGGGCTCTGAGGTTGGATCCTGTTACTGATCTTTTCATGAGTTGACTTTTTGATAGGATTTGGAAGAATTAATTTAAAACCTTTAAACTGTTCTCTTTCTAACTATTATTGCAGGGTATCTACAGGGCTAAGGCTCGACAGGAATAGAAACAGTTAATTTTAGAACTGGATCTCTTTCTCCTACCTGAGGTATAGCAATATTAACACAAAGGACAGTTAAAGAACAGAGAAAGTCCTCCATTCAGCGGAGCATATGTAAACCTAGTTCTGCATGTTCAGTCATACCATCTCTCTTGTTTTCATGGTACTTCCTCTAGCTTCTGACTTTGTCTTCTACTATGGCTCATGTTGCTGAATAATTTAAGAAGTGATCCAATAAGAATGAATATTGGTGCTGTTTTATAGCACAGTGTATCACAGCAGTGGGAAAAAAAAATCATTTTAGGAAGTGTGAGAGCCTAACTTAAAGTTTCAAGGGAAATCAGGAGTTGAAAGCATCATGATCTTTCCAAACTCACTGCATCCTTGTGTGTTTTTTCCTAGCTGTCTGCTCTCTGCAAGCACTTAGACAACTTGTGGGAAGAACACCGTGGCAATGTGGTCCTGTTTGCCTGGATGCAGTTTCTTAAGGAAGAGACCCTAGGGTACCTGAATATTGTCTCTCCTTTCGAGCTCAAGATCGGTTCTCAGAAAAAATTGCAGAGAAGGACGGCTCAAGCCTCTGGCAACACAGAGCTAGATTGTAGAGGAGCAGCTGGATCTGCTGTAGACCAAGAAGAAGTTGTGGATGAGAGAGCCGTGCAGGATGTGGAATCGTTGTCCAGTCTGATCCAGGAAATCTTGGACTTTGATCAAGCTCAGCAGATAAAATGCTTTAATAGTAAATTGTTTCTGTGCAATATCTGTTTCTGTGAGAAGCTGGGTAGTGAATGCATGCACTTCTTGGAGTGCAGACATGTGTACTGCAAAGCCTGTCTGAAAGACTACTTTGAAATCCAGATCAAAGATGGCCAAGTTAAATGCCTCAACTGCCCAGAACCCAAGTGCCCTTCAGTGGCTACTCCTGGTCAGGTAACTTTACCGACAGCTGCATCCTAATTTCATTTCACAGAGGGAGACATCTCAGGAACTTCCTTGCTAGGGCTCATCAGGGCATTCTGAGTTCTTGGAGCCAGCCCACAAGTTGTTTCACTGTATCCATCAATAATACTCTGGTCTTGCCTAGCCTGCGTGGCTCAGAGGTTGAGCGTCAACCTATGAACCAGAAAGTCAGGGTTTAATCCTGGTCAGGGCACATGCCCAGGTTGTGGGCTCTATCCCTAGTATGGGGCGTGCAGGAAGCAGCAGATCAATGGCTTTCTCTCATCATTGATGTTTGTGTCTCTCCCTCCCATTCCTCTCTGAAATCAATACAAATATATTTTTAAAAAATAAAAGAAAGGAGTTTTAAAAAAAGAATGCTATGGCCTTGCCCTGGCCAACGTTACTCAATGATTGGAGCGTCAGCCCTGGAGTGTACCTGGGTTGCAGATTCAATCCTTACCCCTGGTCAGGGCACACATGGGAGGCAACCAATTGATGTGTCACTCTCACATTGATGTTTTTCTCTCCTATCTTTCTCCCCTTCCCTCCTCCCTTCTACCATCTCTAAAACTCAATGGAAAAAAATATCCTCACTCCTCGGGTGAGAATTAAAAGAATGCTATGGTTTTTACCATTTAAGCATACATAAATGCTTTCTTTGCTGGCCTCAGAATGGGCAGTCCTCAGCAGGGAGGAATGTTGAAAAGGTGTAAAGTAATTCTGGTGACTTATTTTGTATATTTACTAGAATGCCATCAACCTTGGAGAATCACTGCCTGTCTTTGTGTGAGGTTGGGATCTGAAGGGGTATCCCTTGGAATGGTTAACCGAATCATTAATAGACTGTAACATAAGGACAGCTTGCTTGGTGTGATTTTTTTTTTTTTTAATATATTTTTATTGATTTTTTACAGGGAGGAAGGGAGAGAGATAGAGAGTTAGAAACATCGATGAGAGAGAAACATCGATCAGCTGCCTCCAGCACATCTCCTACTGGGGATGTGCCCGCAACCCAGGTACATGCCCCTGACCGGAATCGAACCTGGGACCTTTCAGTCCGCAGGCCGATGCTCTATCCACTGAGCCAAACCGGTTTTGGCAGCTTGGTGTGATTTTAAAAAATTAAATTTATGGAGGCATAAATGTACCTATTTAAAGTGTACAGTTTGCTTAGTTTTTTTTTTGTTTTTTTTTTAATGTATTGATTTTTAGAGAAAGAGGAAGGGAGCGAGAGAGAAACATCAGTTGTTGTTCCAGTTATTTATGCATTCATTGGTTGATTCTTGTATGTACCCTAACCAGAGATCAAACCTGCAACCTTAGCGTATCGGGACAGTGCTCTAACCAACTGAACTACCCGGCCAGGGCCAGTTTGCTTAGTTTTGACAAATGTGTAGGTCCATGTAACCACCATCTCAGTCAAGATACAGACTTGCCATACTTGGTTAGATCTTTTTTTTTTTTTAATATATTTTTATTGATTTCAGAGAGGGAGGAAGTGAGAGGGGGAGAGAGAGAGAAACATCAGTGAAGAGAGAGAATCATGGATAGGCTGTCTCCTGCATGCCCCTACTGGGGATTGAGCCCACAACCTAGGCATGTGCTCTGAGCTGGGATCAAACCGTGACCCCTGGTTCATTGGTCAACATTCAACCACAGAGCCACCCCAGCTGGGCTTGTTTTGATCTTGAAGTGAGGTAGAGGGGTTTCATTTATGTGCATCTGATTTGCCCCAGCAGCCTAAGTTTATCCTCAGGAACAGAACTGGTTGGGAAATTGTCAAACCTCTGTGTTTTAAAATATTTTACTCCAGGTCAAAGAGCTAGTAGAAGCAGAGTTATTTGCCCGTTACGATCGGCTGCTTCTCCAGTCCACCTTGGACCTGATGGCAGATGTGGTGTACTGCCCCCGCCCATGCTGCCAGCTGCCTGTGATGCAGGAGCCTGGCTGCACCATGGGCATCTGCTCCAGCTGCAATTTTGCCTTCTGTACCTTATGCAGATTGACCTACCACGGCGTCTCTCCATGTAAGCTCACGGCAGGTAAGTTGTATCAATGAACTCAGTTCTCTTGTCCCCCATCCCCCACCAAAAACCCCCAAACTCATAACTTGAGTTTTCCATTTGGAAGTATTTATTCAACAGAAACTTTTGTGTTAGATACTGTCCTCACTTTGGTGGATATATTAGTGATCAAATGCCTTCATGAAACTTACATTCTAGTGGAGGAGACAGGCAAACAACATGTAAAAAATATCAGATGATAGTAAGTGCTAAGGAGGAAAAAAAATAAAGCAGAGATAGGATATTAAATGTTCTGAAGGGGAAGGAGCTTGGGATTTTACTTTGGAAAGCCAGGGGGAAGCCTCAATGGCAAAGTGATTTGAGTAAAGACTTGGAGGAATTAAGGAAACAAGTCATGCAGATATCAGGGGACAACAGTCCAGGGAAGGAATGGCAAGGTCATTTTTATCTATGGACGTGAAATAATGTCTGTTCTGGCTGGCAGATGCATAGCTGTCACTCTTGTTTCCATGGCACATATGTCTGATCAGTCATCAAGTGTTTTCTCATTGAGGTCAGGGAGGCCTCAGAATCTTCCTGAACACAGCACTTCAGAAAGCCATCCTCTATTGAAGTAGACACAAGATATATAATCTGTTTGCCATTTCTGATCTAGATAAGGATTGAGAAGGCAGGCCTTTGACATAGATTTAACTGGACTCTCATTTAAATGGACTTGGTCTTTCTCAAACTAACAGGGATGATGATAATAGCTACTTTAGGATTGTTGTAAGGAAGAAATTCATTTGATTGTATTTTTCAAAAGTATTGGTCCTTGCCCAGCTAGTGTGACTTAGTGGCTGAGCATCGACCTATGAACCAGGAAGTCATAGTTTGATTACCAGTCAGGGCACATGCCCTGGGTGTGCAGGAGGCAGCTGGTCAATGATTCTCTCTCACCATTGATGTTTCTCTCTCTCTATTTCTCCCTTCCTATCTAAAATCAATACAAATATATTTTAAAAAATAAATAAAAGTATTGGTCCTTGACAGAGTAGGGGAAAAAAACTAGTCCTTCACCATAGATAATTTTGAGAACAATGGGCCAGTACATGTAAAAGGCAAAGTGGTAACTAGTTTTATTTATTTACTAGAGGCCTGGTGCACGAATTTCATGTGGAGGGAGGGGGTGTGTGTGCGGGGGGTGGGGAGGCCCTTCAGCCTGGCCTGCACCCTCTCCAATCTGGGACCCCTCGGAGGATGTCCAGCTGCCTCTCACAATCCGGGACTGCTGGCTCCTAACTGCTCACCTGCCTGATCACCCCTAACTGTTCTCCTGCTGGCCTGATCGCCCCTAACTGCCTCTGCCTTGCCCTGCACCTGGGACCCAGGATTCCCTCCTCCAGCTGGTCGCAGGCACCCGGGACCCGGGCTTCCCTCCCTCTGGCCAGCCGCAGGCACCCAGGACCCGGGCCGGCTTTGCCCAGGTCGGCTGCAGCCGCAGGGGACTGTGGATGGGCGGCTTCGCCTGGGTTGCAACCGCAGGCACCCGGGACCACAGAGCGGGTGGTTTGTCTCTCTCCTGGACCGCAGGCACAGCCGCTGGCGCCCAGGACCATGTGGACCATGGAGACCGTGGGGCGGGCAGCTTGTCCCTCTCCTGGGCCGAAGGCGCAGCCGCAGCCACTGGCACCCGGGACCGTGGGGCGGGTGGCTTGTCCCTCTCCCGGGCTGCAGCCTGGCTGGTCCTCATTCCTCTCTCACAAGCTCATTTGTGTCTGGCTGGTCCCCATTTTTCTCTTCCCAGTGTTGAGTGTCTGAGCCCTTATGGCGTGAGGGTGTGACAACTGTTTGCATATTAGCTCCTTATCATATAGGATTTTTGGTGCCCTTGACCGGAATTGAACCCAGGACCCTTCAGTCCACAGGCTGATGTTCTATCCACTGAGCCAAACCAACTAGGGCAAAGTGGTAATTATTAATGCTGTTATTATTATTATAGTTACTAGTTGGCACTGTTAGAGTGTTATTATCTTCAAGAAAGTACCTTGAGGAGAATGAGTAGGTGCTGCCATTGCCTACAGCAGAGTCTTGAAGTGGTCCAGTAGATGGGTTGAAGAACTCACCACAGCATAATTATAAGCCATTTATTAGATTTCTGTAACCTTAGCATTGAGAGGCTAAAGTACATTTCACGTGTTTCACAGCACTTGAGGAAAAAATGGAAGGTAGACTTAGGGGCTTCAGTAAAATTTGGCATCTGATTTCCTCTCTCTCTCTCTCTCTCTCTCTCTCTCTCTCTCTCTCTCTATATATATATATATATATATATATATATAGATAGATAGATAGATAGATGTTAGATTTTACCGTATAAAATATATGAAATACTAGCATTTTTATTATTTTGAGAACATTAGAGCAATAACCTTTGTCCTTAATATACCTAGGAACACAAAATAATTAACATTGTTGAGAGTCTTGATCCTGTTGAAAAATTAAGATATTAGGATTATGAACAAAAGCCTTTTGTGTATAAGTAAAGGCTTTGGGAATGGCTGCCTATTCATTTAAGTGATAAATAGAAATCAGAGTGAAGAGTATCAAGGGAAAAGGTGTCAGGAGGAACTTTTTAGTAGCTGTGAGTGATAAATTTTATTCACTGACTTTTTTTTAATATACCAAATTAAACCGCCTTTGCCCTTAAGCCAAAGGTGCTTTTGTTTATTTGATAAACCTTGTTATTATCAAACTAGAGGCCTGGTGCATGGATTTGTGCACTGGTGGTGTCCCTCGCCCAGCAGTCCGACATCCTCTGAGGGTTCCCAGAGTGCAAGAGGGCACTCTGCAAAGTTGCTGTCACTCTGCAGCTCCTGCACTGAGCGTCTGCCTCCTGGTGGTCAGAGTGCGTCATAGCTACCAGCCAGTCGGCCAGTGGGCCTGTCGGCCTGTCTGTCGCTTAGGCTTTTATATATACAGTGGGGCCTTGACTTATGAGTTTAATTCATTCCGTGACGGAGCTCGTAACTCAAATTACTCGTATGTCAAATCAAGAAGTGAACGAGTGAGACACGTGATGCTGGGCTGATGTGGCGTTCACTGTGAGGTTCGCTGCGCCAGCTAGCAGTGGGGTATCTGAAGCTGGCTCGTAACCCGAATTTTAGCTCGCAACTCAAAGCAAAAAATCGGCCGAGAGAGGGCTCGTATCTCGAAAAACTCGTTAGTCAGGACACTCGTAAGTCAAGGCCCCACTGTATATAGATGGTGAATGATGCTGAGTTAGTGGAAAATCAGTGTCTGTTTCAACCTTTGCGTTTTTTAGATAAGTCAGTCCTTAACTGTACACCACTAATTGTATAAACATATCAACATTAATAAGTCAAAATCAAAAGGAAAAGATAACCTATTATTCTACCACCTTTACCAAATTCAACTTTTCTAGTTGGAGGATTCCTTTTTGTTCTTTGTTATTTGTGCATGTCTAACTTTACCTAGTCATAACCTAAATATGCTTTTTTTCTGGATTCTGTAATGAGTATTTTAATTGAGCTGTAGCCATCCTAACTATAAGTTTTTAATAACAATATTATGTCACAAATGACTCTTTCGCACATAATTATTTCCTTGGACATTTAATTTGTTTGCCATTGTTATGTGCATTTCCATGCATATAACTTTACTTTGGATTATGATAAAGTCCCAGAGGTAGCATTATTGAGTAGTCAAAGGTTATAGCCATTTTTAATAGTTTTTAATCAGCATTGCAAAGTTATATAAAAGTTAATTTTCCATTTCACTTTCTAGAGAAATTAATAGACTTACAAAATGAGTACCTGCAAGCAGATGAGGACAATAAAAGATTTCTGGAACAGAGGTATGGTAAGAGGGTGATTCAGAAGGCACTGGAAGAAATGGAAAGTAAAGAGTGGCTAGAAAAGAACTCAAAGAACTGCCCAAATTGTGGGACTCCCATAGAGGTAAACAGACTCACAGGCATGTTACGATCATCTCAAGAAGCCTATTAATTTTATGACTAATTAAAAACATTTTGGTATTTATTAAACCCTCTTACTTGGAAGTTGTAAATTAACGACTTAATATTGTCATCTATTTTAAATGTGTGTAGATGTCCCTTTTCAAAGTGCTTTCATACAGTGACAGCTGTTCTCACATTATATCCCCCCCTTAAAATTGAATGGGAAGCCATCCTAGAGCCAGAATCAACTCTTAACTCATCTATGTGATTTTTAAAAAATCAAGCCTGACTTCTTCTCAGAACTTTTTATCCTGGAATTGAACACACCTGTTTAACAAGTATATGCTTAAGAAATGGGCACATTTTCCCAAATGTATATAAATCTATTGCTTCTTGACAAAAATCTTAATATGTTTTAAAATCAAAATATATCTTTGTATTTGATTCTACTGTGTCAATCCATTACAGTAGTCCTCTTGAATCTGTGGGGGATATGTTCCAAGACTCCAATAGATACCTGAGGATGATACTAAACCCTATATATGTATTATGTATTTTTCCAAAACATACAAACATACCCATGATGAAGTTTAATTTATAAATTAGGTACAGTAAGAGATTAACAACAATAACTAATAGAATAATTATACTATAATAAAGTTATGTGAATGTGATCTTTTTACATCAAAATATATATTACTGTACTGTGTTCACTCTTGAGATGATGTGCAGTGATACAAAATGAGGTGAATTATATAGGATTGTGATGTAGTGTTAGGCTATGGTTACTTGAATATGAGTGCTGCGATATGGAAACAGGCTAATGAGAAGGAAAGATTCACGCCCTGGTTGAGATGGCGCAAGGTTTCATCTCACTACTCAGAATGGTGTACAATGTAAAACATGAATTGTTCATTTCTGAAGTTTTCCATATAATACAGGGTGAGGCAAAAGTAGGTTTACAGTTGTTCATACGGAAAATAATACAATAATTAATGAATAATACAAAAATAAACTGTTTTGCATACTCACAACTATAAACCTACTTTTGCCCCACTCTGTATTTTTGGACCATGGGTTAAGCATGAGTAGCAAAACTGCAGATAAGGGGGTACTACTGTATATCTGAACTGAACCTGGTGGTCATTCCCTAAATACTCCATTAAGGAAACTGACATTATATTTAACCAATTTAACTACTTCTGTGTATCTCAGCCCTATGATAAAGTGGAGGACTTGATACCAAATGTTTTTTAGATTTATGTAAAATGTTTAAAATCACATATATTAAATCCAAACATTTTAATTAATCTAACTACATTTTCTGGTTACAATATAGTGCATTTGGTTTGTATCTAGAGTTATCAGAAGAAAACTTGCTAAGTATCTAGTTGTAGGAAAGCCTGCTAAATATTTCCTGTTTCACCTGTAATGCAAAAGAGCTGGCATTAACTAGCTATCAGTGTGTTACCTACCATAGTGTTCAGCTCTGTATGAGGAAAGGGACTAGGACAAGGACAGTGGTTCTCAACCTTCTGGCCCTTTAAATACAGTTCCTCATGTTGTGACCCAACCATAAAATTATTTCCGTTGCTACTTCGTAACTATAATGTTGCTACTGTTATGAATCGTAATGTAAATATCTGATATGCAGGATGGTCTTAGGTGACCCCTGTGAAAGGGTCGTTCGACCGCCAAAGGGGTCGCGACCCACAGGTTGAGAACCACCGGTAGGAGAATGTTATACTGAATCTTTTTGGCATGTGCATTCCTCTTTTGCTTTTATAGCCTTGATATTTTTCTCTTTCTGTCTTTCCCACCAGAAATTAGATGGATGTAACAAGATGACATGTACTGGTTGTATGCAATATTTCTGTTGGATTTGCATGGGTTCTCTCTCTAGAGCAAACCCTTATAAACATTTCACTGATCCTGCTTCCCTGTGTTTTAACCGGTATGTACACAGAGTTCCCCAGGCTCAGCAGCAGTTTTTGGCCCTTCATTTGCAGACCACAGATCCAGTGTTTGACTTGGTGCTTTGCTTATTAGAGAACTCTCTTACACACTTCCCACATATGTGAATTTTTATATTATTTTCTTGCAAATGAGGTTTATGATGAAAATATGCCACCTGGAAAACTTCCTTTTTGTCCTCCTCAGCTTTTTATAGTAAAAAATTTTAAATAGAAAAGTTGAAAGGATAAGACTGAATAGTAGGATAACGTCCACCAAAATTATTAATTGAGAGTGTTTTGCCATATTCTCTTTTTTTAAAAAATATGTTTTTATTGATTTTTAGAGAGAGGAAGGGAGAGAGAGAAACTTAGATGTGAGAGTGAAACATCTATTGGCTGCCTCCTGTATGCCCCCTTCTGGGGATGGAGCTAGAAACCCAGCATGTGCCCAGACTGGGAATTGAACTGATGACCTTTTGGTTCATGGGTCGATGCTCAACCACTGGACCGCACTGGCTGGACCTGTTCTCTCTCTTTTTTAATTAAAACTTTCTAATGTTTGTTCTCTAACTTTTTTGCTGAAGTACTTGACCCTAAGTTGGAGATAGGATGCTTCATCTCTAAATGCTTCCATGTGTATGGCCTAAGAAAATTCTTCTATATAAGAATACTTTAAAAAAATTAATGAGACCTGGACGGTGTGGCTCAGTTGGTTGGGTGTCATCCTCTACACTGAAAGATTGCTGGTTCAGTTCCCATTCGGGGCACATGCCCAGGTTGTAGGCTTGATCCCCAGCAGGGAGCATCAAGTTTCACTCTCACATCAATGTTTTTATCCCTCTCCCTTCCTTTCTAAAAAAATCAATGAAAAGTCTCAAACAGATTAATGACAATGGCATATTATCAGCTAATAAACTTATTAAGAACCTTCCAGTTATCCCTAAAAATATCTTTTAAAGTTGTTTTATTGAAACAGGATCTAATCAAGTTCAGTCATTTTATTTGGTTCTGTCTCTTAAGCCTCTCTTTTTTAAACATCTATTTCTTTTTTTTAAAATATATTTTTATTGATTTCAGAGAGGAAGGAAGAGAGAGAGATAACATAAGGAAAGGAAGACAAGTTGGTAACTATAAAACATACTAAAAATGGAGAGTGCATGGACCATGAAGATAGAATGGAGTGATTCGCATGTAATAAAATTATAGTGTCTCAAAAGAGTTTAACTTCTAGATTGCTTGATTTCCCCAGTCTTGGCTTATTCCACATATTGTATGCATTGAGTATCAGTTTTGTGACACTCATCTTCCATTACTTATCCCTGGCCCTAGAGAGTGTCTGGATCCTAAAAGGGCTATTCTAATAAGCTTTAAGGCAGCTAGCTGTTCAGAGGGACCATATTTTAGTCCTTCTCAGTGGAAGATTAAAGGAGAGGAAAAGATAAAGATGTTATCTGAGGAGTACAGAAAGTATTTTTGAGACAAGGAAATAAATTATAGTTTCTTTCAAGTTTATAAAATTACACCTTATTATATGCTTCCAGGTTGTTCTATGCTGTGGATGTTGATGAAGATATTTGGGAAGATGAGATTGAAGAAGACTAGTTCATTCCTCCTGCTCAAGACATGGAAGTGAAATGGTTTGCCCTGATCTTTTGCTGAGTATACAGAGTAACTCAGGATATTTGCAGGATATTTAGGGTTACCATTCATTCACGCTTCCAATGTAGAAGATGAGGAGAATGAGGTTTACATTTTCATGTGGCACTACTGACTACGGCACATTCATACATTTGTCAGTGTAACATAATGGAGAAAATTATAAGCCAAAGGTTCAGAAAATGAAAACTAAGGAATATTAAATATTATTATGTTCCCGAAACTCTGAATAGTTAAAAATTTAAATATTTATTTTTTTCCCCAAGCTTTAGGTAAGGAGAAGGGGTCAAGAGTTCAACTTACAGACCTTTTTATCTCTGAGAATCATCCCTTTAAACTTCTGAGGGAGTCTCCTTACGGCTGGGGTGGTTAGAAGCCTTATTAAAATTGTACAAAGAGCCTGATCTTACTCCATGTTACATTCCTTCCAACCTAAATTTCTGCTGAGTTCTTTTTGGAGGGAACCCTTTATAGCCGATTGGATGGCCCAGTGCCATTTTGATCTGCTTTTAAGAATAGAAATTTATAATTTAAAAAATATTCTATAATACCACAAATAATGTGGGTCACCTGATACTGCTTTTCAGAATAGAAATTTATAATTTAAAAAATATTCTATAATACCACAAATAATGTGGGTCACAGATATAGCAGGTGGTATATAGTTCACTGATGCTGAGCCGAATTTGTTATTTAATGACACTGGCTCAGAAGAATTTCAGCGCTGTTCAGCTTTCCTGAGCAGTAGAGCCTAGATTCAAAACAACTTTGTCTTTGCCACCTTCATTCTACATTCTCTCTTTTACCTCACCCAGCCTTCTGTTGGTAAGGACAATTTTAATATCAACTCCATCGGCTCCTATTTTTATTTCTGTTGCTGGAATAAGAGGAAGCCTAATATATTCATTCCCAAGCTGAACAAGCTGAGCTTCCAATTATGTGCTTTTTGAACTCCACACTACTGTAGTTCAGTCCTAACTTTCTAAATTCTTTCTATAGGTCTTCTCTAATGTGCTTTGGGAGTTTGGTTTCCCACCTGTTTTTTGCAACAGCACCGTTTTGGAGGATAATTTTGGCTTGCCTAGATCCCTATTTCAGGGTTTTGTTGGCTTTTTGAAAAATTGTCTTTCCTTTTGGTTTGGTAGCAAAATAAGATTTTTTTGAAAAGGGCAGAATTCAGCTGCAGCTATGAAAATGTTTTTTCCTACCTTGTCACTGAAAATTGGGGAATCATTTTTAACCATTTTATGTGTGTGTATCCAAAGAGTCAGCAGTGACTATTTCTGGATTGTCAATGAGGATGCTTAATCTTAAAAATAAAAGTAACTTAAAAATTGTCTTATAATTAGAGCAGAGTTTGATGATACGTGTTCTGTCGCCAAAGGCTTATAAAGACTTATTTTTGAGGCATGAGTTATAAGCCATTTTTAAGATGGTGAAGTTTTGGGTAGAGTACTTTTGTCTCTGATTATAATGAAAATTGGGGTAACCCCCTGAATGCCCTAGAAATAAATTACCTTGTTAAAGGATGGTATATCAAGAAAATACATGAACAAAGAGTGTTGTACATAACTTAATTTCATGAAGGCCACTTTTACAAGTGGACTGAGATTTACCATAAATTGACATGAACCTCATGATTTCTTTCGGTGAGAGAGAGCAGAGGGTCCCTTTGCAGACTGTCAGTTCATCCTGCCCAGCGCTAGTTTGAAGAAGCCACATCTCTTGATTTGATGTAAAAGGTTTGGATGTAGAACTGATATATGAAATTAAGTTACTAAATGACTTTTTAAGTCAAAATAGAGGTTTTGTGACATTTTAAGCTTGTGATTGAACAAAGTTAAGAGCCTGCCTTTGTCAGTTGAGATGCATCTTGTCCCACTTATTTTCTTAAGTAATGTGTTTTTTTTTTAAATATATTTTTTATTGATTTTTTACAGAGAGGAAGGGAGAGAGAGAGAGAGAGTTAGAAACATCGATGAGAGAGAAACATCGATCAGCTGCCTCCTGCACATCTCCTACTGGGTTGTGCCCGCAACCCAGGTACATGCACTTGACCGGATTCGAACCTGGGACCTTTCAATCCGCAGGCCGACGCTCTATCCACTGAGCCAAACCGGTTTCGGCTTAAGTAATGTTTTTAACTTAAAATAAATATACATCCCTTCCTGTTGAAAAGAATGATGGAGAAAAGACTTGGCAGCCACATTCCCTCAGGGCAACATTCCCAGACCTATAGCATTAACAGCAGGTCATTTTTTAGTTACAGAGGGTTCTAGTTTACATTAGACATTAATATACTTACATTTTTGTTGTTAAGAGAATTAATCAGATATGGTCATCATAAAGCCATTCATGTGGCTGCCTGCTTTGGAAAGGAATTTAAAAATTTTGGCAGGAATTTTGGAGATCCCACTAAGTAGTAATTTTGCCATAAGCATCACCAGCAGGTGGCAGCAGTTGCCATGTTATAAAAATTCAGTAAATGGTTAAGACTAGTAGCATTTGTTTTATGTCTGGGATTTAAATTTTCCTCATTGTGTTTCATTATAGTCTGTTATACACATTGGTGAGTAAAATGACATCCTAGATAATAAAACCCTAATATGCAAATCGACCCAACAGCAGAACAACTGATTCACTATTATATGCACTGACCACCAGGGGGCAGATGCTCAGTGCAGGAGCTTCCCTGCTGGTCAGTGCGATCCCACAGAGGGAGCGCCGCTCAGCCAGAAGCCCGGTTCACGTCTGGCAAGCACAGTGGCAGCGGTGGGAACCTCTCCCGCCTCCGCAGCAGCGCTAAGGTGCAGCTAGCTGAGCAGTAAGGCATAGCGAGCAGGCGGGCAGGAAGGAGTGAGGGGTCCCAGACTGCGAGAGGGATCCCCACTGTGAGAGGGATCCTCGACTGCCAACTTAGGGATCGGGCCTAAGCCAGTAGTCAGGGGTCCAGGACTGCGAGAGGGCATAGGCCAGGCTGAGGGACACACACACACACACCCCATCCCTGAACGAATTTTGTGCACTAGGCCTCTAGTTTAATAATAGCAGCAAGGCAGGAACAGGAGTATTACCAAATACTGTAAGGCCACTTAAAACTATATTTGAACCAGCTGACATCCAATTGTTATATAGCAGCGGTTCTCAATCTGTGGGTCGTGACCCCTTTGGCGGTCGAATGATCCTTTCACAGGGGTCGCCTAAGACCATCCTGCATATCAGATCTTTACGATTCATAACAGTAGCAACATTACAGTTATGCAGTAGCAATGAAAAGAATTTTATGGTTGGGTCACAACATGAGGAACTGTATTTAAAGGGCCAGAAGGTTGAGAACCACTGTATAGGAAGGTGGCATTCTTGATAGAAGTACTTGTTGGCAGCCACTGAAGAAACTAACTTATAGCTGTACCATGATGCAGCTCCTAAGGAGGATGGAGAAGTTGTGACATTGTGGGACCCTCTGGAAAGAGTAGCCAAATAGTCAGGTCCTTGAACTTTGGCTGAATAAGAAAGTCAGCCAGCATACCAGTCTTAGGGTTTTGAGTCAGAAAAATGGCTTTGATGATGTTCTTAACAAATGTTCATGATAACTTTCAGCACCCACAGTCTAATCTTGCACAATTCCGAGGATTCCCGTATTTCTCTGAGCCAGAGGATCTCAGCATTGTCACAATATCTTATTGGAAACTTATGCATCTCATCATAGTAAGGGTTTTGATTCCCAGGAAAGAGGCATCAAATTTGCAAATTTATATCTTCAATAGACCAGTTTGCTAATCCATTATCATATAATATGCTGTTATTTCCCCTGGTTATTGTATATGATCACTACTCTTGGGGGTAACTGTCAGGCTTACAACAAATAATGGGTGTCTTCTAGAAACCAAGGCACTGATAGGGACAGGATAGAGCAGCATTTAGAGCAGCCGTGGGCAAACTACGGCCCGCAGGCCGGATCCGGCCCGTTCGAAATGAATAAAACTTCTGAAATGAATAAAACTAAAAAAAAAAAGACCGTACCCTTTTATGTAATGATGTTTACTTTGAATTTATATTAGTTCACACAAACACTCCATCCATGCTTTTGTTCCGGCCCTCCGGTCCAGTTTAAGAACCCATTGTGGCCCTCGAGTCAAAAAGTTTGCCCACCCCTGATTTAGAGTCTGCTTTCATGAAGCTTACATTTAGTGGGAAACAAAATCATGCCAGGTGGTAGAGGTTTGAGAAATAGAGCAGTGGGGGGGAGAGAACTGGGATTGCTATTAATGTTGGAGGGCCAAGGAAAATCTCTTTGATAAAGGACATTTGAGCAGAGGTCTGAGGAAGTACGGGGTTAAGCCATTCTGGAGGGGAAGAGTGGGCCAGGCTCTTGTATCCACCTCTACTTTGTAAACGACAAATTTAATAGAAGAGGTGACACATTTGTGTGAACGTGCTGCCACTTATCACTTGAAACACATTCTACCCACTCTTCCTGAAATACAGCTCTCCATGTATACTTAATCTTTTTCCTTTCTGAGTATCGGACTTGGGGTTTCAGACTCGACTCTTTCTACTTAGCTATATTAAATATTTATTGATCAAACCGTCACAACCTGGCCTTTGAAGGCCCATTTAACAGGCTGCTTCGTCCTCTCAATACTGCATTTTTTTATTTATTTTAAATGTTTTTATTCATTTTACAGAGGGTAAGGAAGAGGGATGGAAAGATAGAAACACCTATGAGAGAGAAACATTGATCAGCTGCCTGCAACCTGGGCATGTTCCCTGACCCAAATCAACTTCTTGGTTCATAGATCCATGCTCAACCACGGAGCCATCCTGGCAGGGCTACTGCCTCATTTTTGAAAGCACCTTTGTTTTATGGCAACAAGACATTCCAGGCCCACTGTGATCCCTGCCCAAATCATGTGATTAGCTTCTGTCCAAGAAGCCCTGTGTCTATCAGAGGCCCAGGCTGGCCCAGAATCCACAGAAGAACTGGTTGAAGCAGGATGACGCTGCTGTTGAGCCACAAGGAAACACAGGCCTGGGAAAGATATTTTTTTTTAATATATTTTTATTGATTTCAGAGAGGGAGATAGAGAGAAACATCAATAATGAGAGAATCATTGATTTGCTGCCTCCTGCACACTCCCCACGGGGGATTCTAGCCCGTAACCTGGGCATGTGCCCTGACTGGGAATCAGACTGTGACCTCCTGGTTCATAGGTCAATGCTCAACCACGCCAGTTGGGCAAGACAGAGCTTTTTAAGGTCCTGAGTTCACACAGACATCTCCAGTTTGGCTGTTGTCACTAAATCCTTTTTCGTTTCATTCTAATATATTTTTTCTATAACATACCTTCTTAAAAATTAATCCCACCCAGCACATAAATTATATGTCAATATAACTGATAAAAATTAAACCCTTCTTCCAACTTCTACTTATACTTCAGTTATATTGACCTAAGATATGCCATTATATTGATTTTTAACTTTAAAAACAAACAAAAAAAACTAAACCTATTTTCCATACCATGCAGTTTTTATTTTTATATCCTCCTGGTCACAGATCTGCCTTATTGTTTTTAACAGCTGTATCCTTGTTTGGATCCCAAGTACAGTTAGAACATGAACAATTTATTGCTCAACTTTTCATTCCTACCATTTTTCACACAGGTGCTTTTCAGCTCACTTTTATGACATACTTTCTTTTCTGCCAGTAAATGAAAAAGATCAGCAGTTGCTATGATTGTGACTTCCTGCAGAGCTGTTGTGAGGAGTGAGTATAAAGCTTTGTTCACCAGCTATTCCCAAAATATATATGAACCCAGACCATCTTCTAACCTTTGGGGGAGTGGGGGTGGTGGAAGTCCATAAATGACCAATTTGAAAACATTGGATTTAATAGAAAATACAACATTGTAAACAAGCCTACTGATCTATCAACTTAAAACAGAATGACAGCACAATCACATACAAAAAGACAAAATGCTGGTACCAAACAGGCTTGAGCTGGCTTTCAAAGATCATGAGAAACAGGCGGCAGCAGCTTGAAACAGGCACAAAGGTGGGGGGAGGAGGTGTAAGAGGGTAAAAGGAAGACAGCAATAGACTCATCTTGTGAGCAGGGGTAAAGGATAAAGGGACAAAGGGATTCTATTTCCTGACGTTCTAGAAACATCAGAGCACACAACATGAACCCGAGAGATGAGAAGGGCAGTTAGGTGGGGAAAGGCAGCCTTAGAAGCATTTGTATATTGTCTTGGCACTCAGCTCCTAGGGAAGCAGGAGAGCATGTCACTCGTGTTGTGACTAAACTCACCATTGAGCTGCCTGTCCAGCCCCTAGCTCCTTGGCTGAAC